GTACATTGTCTGCCTGATAAGATACCTTGTCGACTATGCTTGATAAGCAGGTATTAGGAAGATGACTGTGTTGAAATTCGTCAGTGATTATGTCAACTACACTAATTTTTGACAGCCTTGGTGCAAATGATCAAGAGGTTCATTGAGCGGATATTATATGACTAACACCCGCGTCTGGAGAAATTTTCCCATTTCTCCTGAAACTAAACTTTGCCCTTTATTGTTGAGCTTTCTCGTTATGGAAATGTATGTCACTCTACTCTTGATACATTTGCAGTTAAGATCATGCTTTATTTTAATGTTTCGTTGTTAAAAATTCCCTGTTTGTTATTCTCATTATAAGTTGGATATTTCTTTGTACATAAAAGTGTCGAAATCTCATATCGTACCTACAATTTATGCAATATAAAATATCTTAATTTATTTAGCCTATCTATATTTTACCGTTTCTCATATGTAATTGCGAATTTTATTATTATTATTATTATTATTATTATTAGGTAGCTACTTTTAAATAAGAATAAAAGAATATTGCCTGAACATAGTAATCTAAACTCAGTCGTGCAAAGGGGGGATTATTATTGTTTTTCAAAAGGGGAAGCGCTAAATGGGATAAAAATTTCGGGTTTGATCCAAGGAAGGGCAAAGGGTAGCTCCTTTTCCCTGAGCCCAAGAAAACCTTCCCACAACATCAGCTTTTTACCCCCCCCCAATCCGGGCTTTTTGGAGGAGTACTCGTGATTTTCTTAAATATAGGGGGGGGGGGGTTTTGTTTCTTTAGTGAAAAATGATAATAATAATAATAATAATATCTATTTCTACAGCGACATACTACTATAAAAGAAAGCCGTTGTTATGTGGGATTTTTTTTTATTAAAATCAAAAAGAAGCGCTAACCCACAAGGACTATACAGTATTTTTTTATTTTAAGCATTTCGATGAACCCTTTCAAGGGGGGTTTTCCTTTGATGCCGGTGGGGGGCCTTGATTGGGGAATTGAACCTTTTTTTTTTTTTGCGGGGGGGGTTTTAGCGCGCCCTCCACGAATATAAAAATTAATAACATAAGGCCATTTTGGTGGTGGTGGGGGTGTTATTTTGGAACAGTATGCCGGGTCATTTTTTTGAAAGGTCGGGTTTCCTGGACTTGGAAATAATAGGTGGGCAACCCCTTTGGGGAAAATTTTTAACCCAATATTGTAACCCAACGGGAGGGAGTTTTTTAAATCGAAATGTGCCACAAACGTGGGGTAGGGGGACAATCAGTTCGTTCCAGTGGGAAAAAAAATTTTAAAATTCCTTGGATCATGACCCCCCAGGAACCCCCTTTCGGGGGAGGATCGTGCAGTTAGTCTTTTTAGGTCATTTTTAATTTTAATCAAAAACTAAGCGCTAAAACCCCCAAAGGGGCCCTACAGCGCTGCAAGTACATGCTAAGCACGACTTTTTTGGCTACTTCTTAGAATTTCCCCCTAATCCTCTCTTCCTTAAAAATGGGGGGGCACCCAAAAGTTGGCAAACCCCGCTGCGAGAGAAAAAGTACCGGAAGCAATGTGAACTTGATTTAATTTGGGTCAAGAAAAGATGGAAAAAAAAACCCCTAGGAAAAGATATTGCTGTTTTAAAATCGTTTAAATTCAGAATATAAATAACAAGCAACATATTTTAAATTAACCACTTCCTCGAAGTTAAAAAACTTTATAAAACAAATGTTGGTGAGAAGAACAGGGGAAAACAAGCGGTGAAAGGGGCTTTCACTGGCTGGGGGGCCGTTTACGTCACCTCTGCCCGTTTTCCCACCCAGCTACTGAACCCTTTAAGGGGGGGTATGTCCTCTCTCCCTTTCCAGGAAAATTTTTGATTACACATCGAGTTTTAAATTTAAAACCCAAATTAGGCAATCCCCGACTCTTATGATACAAGATCATTTTGATAAAAAAAACCGTTTACTGGTTTTGCGAACGTAAATAGTGTTTGTTTAGTTATATAAAATTTTTTTTAACACCACACCACACAACACACACGTACGTTAGGAAGTAATTTTTTCAGTCATAGAGTTTTTCAGGAAGTGGAATAAAAACCCCGCAATGAAGTAAGGGGAGGCAGGGAAACCCTACAAGTTTTAAGAAGAGGTTTTGATACAGCTCAGGAAGCAGAGAGAGAGGGGGGGCCCAGTAGCGGGTTTAGTGAAGAGGCGGGGGCCGGAGCTGAGTCTTACCCCTGCAACCACAATTTGGTGAGTAAAACAACTTGGAGCTTGGGGCTAGACCCCCGCAACCCAACTAGGTGAGTAACCTCAAAATAGGTGGTTTCACACACACGTAGTCGGAAGTGGAAATTTTGGGGAAACCCAGGGGATGGAGGCCCGGGTCCATTCAAACTTTAAGCAGAGGGATGGGTAAAAACTATTTGGTGCAGGGGTGGGCCCAGTAGGGCCCGTTTAAGGGGGCGGGACCAGGAGCTAGGGCCCAAACCCCCGCTACCACAACTAGGGGAATAAACACACACACACACACACATATATACATGTATATATATATTATATATATATATATATATATATATATATATATATATATATATATATATATAAATATATATATATATATATGTAATAAGATCACAGTAAACAGGTGATTTCAGAATATGCAAAACAACCACTCTGAAAGAATAGAGAAATTCCAAGCGCTTTCGTGACTACTCACATTATCAAGGAACTATGAAAGTAAAGCATAGCTTCCTTGGATGCTTTACTTTCATAGTTCCTTGATAATGTGAGTAGTCACGAAAGCGCTTGGAATTTCTCTATTCTTTCAGAGTGGTTGTTTTGCATATATATATATTATATATATATATATATATATAATATATATATATATATATATATATAATATATATATATATATATATAATATATATATATATGTAAAAGAAGTAAATGCTAGGGTGTTCGGGAGAGGGGTGGGATTAAATTATGGGGAATCAAATTCAAAATGGGAGTTGACACAGTTACTTTTTGCTGATGATACTGTGCTTATGGGAGATTCTAAAGAAAAATTGCAAAGGTTGGTGGATGAGTTTGAGAATGTGTGTAAAGGTAGAAAGTTGAAAGTGAACATAGAAAAGAGTAAGGTGATGAGGGTATCAAATGATTTAGATAAAGAAAAATTGGATATCAAATTGGGGAGGAGGAGTATGGAAGAAGTGAATGTTTTCAGATACTTGGGAGTTGACGTGTCGGCGGATGGATTTATGAAGGATGAGGTTAATCATAGAATTGATGAGGGAAAAAAGGTGAGTGGTGCGTTGAGGTATATGTGGAGTCAAAAAACGTTATCTATGGAGGCAAAGAAGGGAATGTATGAAAGTATAGTAGTACCAACACTCTTATATGGATGTGAAGCTTGGGTGGTAAATGCAGCAGCGAGGAGACGGTTGGAGGCAGTGGAGATGTCCTGTCTAAGGGCAATGTGTGGTGTAAATATTATGCAGAAGATTCGGAGTGTGGAAATTAGGAGAAGGTGTGGAGTTAATAAAAGCATTAGTCAGAGGGCAGAAGAGGGGTTGTTGAGGTGGTTTGGTCATTTAGAGAGAATGGATCAAAGTAGAATGACATGGAAAGCATATAAATCTATAGGGGGAAAGGAAGGAGGGGTAGGGGTCGTCCTCGAAAGGGTTGGAGAGAGGGGGTAAAGGAGGTTTTTGTGGGCGAGGGGCTTGGACTTCCAGCAAGCGTGCGTGAGCGTGTTAGATAGGAGTGAATGGAGACGAATGATACTTGGGACCTGACGATCTGTTGGAGTGTGAGCAGGGTAATATTTAGTGAAGGGATTCAGGGAAACCGGTTTATTTTCTTATAGTCGGACTTGAGTCCTGGAAATGGGAAGTACAATGCCTGCACTTTAAAGGAGGGGTTTGGGATATTGGCAGTTTGGAGGGATATGTTGTGTATCTTTATACGTATATGCTTCTAAACTGTTGTATTCTGAGCACCTCTGCAAAAGCAGTGATAATGTGTGAGTGTGGTGAAAGTGTTGAATGATGATGAAAGTATTTTCTTTTTGGGGATTTTCTTTCTTTTTTGGGTCACCCTGCCTCGGTGGGAGACGACCAACTTGTTGAAAAAAAAAAAAAAAAAAAAAAATATATATATATTATATATATATATATATATATATATATATATATATATATATATATATGTGTGTGTGTGTGTGTGTGTGTGTACTCACCTATTTGTGATTGCAGGGGTCGAGTCTTAGCTCCTGGCCCCGCCTCTTCACCGGTTGCTACTGGGCCCTCTCTCTCCCTGCTCCATGAGCTTTACCAAACCTCGTCCTAAAACTGTGTATGGTTCCTGCCTCCACTACGTCATTTTCTAGGCTATTCCACTGCCTGACAACTCTATGACTGAAGAAATACTTCCTAATATCTCTCTGACTCATTTGTATCTTCAACTTCCAATTGTGGCCTCTTGTTTCTGTGTCCCTTCCCTGGAACATCCAGTCTTTGTCCACCTTGTCTATTGTGCGCAGTATTTTATATGCCGTTATCATGTCTCCCCTGACCCTCCTGTCCTCCAGTGTCGTCAGGCCGATTTCCCTTAACCTTTCTTCATAGGACATTCCCTTAGCTCTGGAACTAACCTTGTCGCAAACCTTTGTACTTTCTCTAGTTTCTTGACGTGCTTTATCAAGTGTGGGTTCTGAACAGGTGTTGCATACTCCAGTATGGGCCTGACATACACAGAGTACAGTGTCTTGAATGATTCCTGTGTGTGTGTATGTGTGTGTATTTTTTAACATACTGGCCATTTCCCACTGAGGCAAGGTGGCCCAAAAAAGAAGAAACTTTTTCACTATCACCCACTTGCCAGAGGGGCACCGATACTACACTTCAAAGCTGCAAATATCCCCACCCCTTCCTTCAGCGTGCAGGCACTGTACTGCCACCTCCAGGACTCAAGTCCAGTTAACCAGTTTTCCTGAATCCCCTCATAAATGTTACCCTGCTCACACTCCAACAGCATGTCATCATAAAAATCATTTGCCTTCTCCATAAGAGACATGCATGTTGTAAGTGGAGACTAAATTGATGGGAGCAAAGAGCTAGTAACCCTTTCTCCTTATAAATTGCTAAAGTTTTCTATTTTAGGTCACCCTGCCTTGGTGGGATACTGCCAGTTTGTTGAAAAAATAATAATAATAATAATAAAACACAGTGTGGTTTATGACAATTTAGTGAGATGTTTCATCATCAGGGACTTTCTCACAGAGTTGAGTTTGAACCCCACTCGTTCTTCGATTTGAGAGTAGTACATACATAGTACATAGTAGAGAGGCACAAGCAGTAATGCGGTGAGCCTCTTGGAAACTTTGAAGTTAAAAATTCGGTTAGTAGGCTGATTTCAGTACTTCTTCACATAGTTTATGTAATAGCAGTGTCTTATCTAATGTCATCGTCATATATATGGCCTATTTCTACCCATCTCTGTAGAGCTAGTTAGAAAGAGAGCATATATATTATATTTTATTAACATACTTGTTGGTATGTAATTCCATTCACCTACATATACACACGTATATATGTAAAAGAAATGCAGAATATAAACCAATGGACGCCAATTCTTTTTGAGGAATTTGAATTTCTAAGGACTATTGATTGCATGTGATTCTTTAAGGCAGCAAGTCAGCTGTCACTAACATTGATTCAAGTCTATCATAACCCAAGAATTTAAGAATTTTTTTTTTAGCACCATGTTCTCTTCAGTTGTGTACCTATAGTGATTCTTTGTTTGGCAGTCTTGCTTCTCAAGACTGTCTCAGAGATTATGATGTGATGTCAGGGTAATGATAATAATAATAATTTTATTTCAGCATCATACAATATTTGTACAGAGATGGGTGACATTTAGTTGTGCATGTAGAAAGCCCATAGTTATGCAGAGCACTTTGGACAATAGTATTTTTTTAATTTTATTTTGTGGGGTTGGATTCTCAGAGTTTACAGTGGAATCTCGGTTTTCGTATGCCCCAGTCTTTTTAGGATTCAGTTTTCGACGACTTTTTCTGTCAAAATTTTGTCCCAGTTTTCGTACATCACCTCGGTTTTCGTAGAGTTGACAATGGTCCGTACCAAACACGTCCGCCTGCCTGCCCACGTCACTTGGCCACTCAAGCGCTGAGTGACTCAGTCCACCTTTGTTTATTGTTGAGTGAGCATCACCCTACACTTGTTGTGGAATCTATTGTGTCTTTGGGGAAGTCCATGGAGTTGGATGCGAGTGGCCAGGATGTGGAAGAGTTGGTGGACGACCAAAGGGAAGAGCTAACCACTGAAGAGCTGCAAGACCTTCAACTGGAACAGCAACAGACCACAGCTGAGGAAATTGTTTCAGAGGAGGAGGAGGAAGAGAGAGGGGAGAATGTGCTTTCTTCAGTGATTAAGGACATGTGTGCAAAGTGGAGTGAGTTGCAAAGTTTTGTGGAGAAATATCACCCAAACAAAACTGTTGCAAGCCATGTCTGTAACATGTTCAGTGACAATGCCTTGTTCCATTTAAGGCAAATCTTAAAAAGACGCCAGAAATAGAGTTTTTGTGCGACAGAGGTACAGTAACTCTCAAGCTGATCCTAGTGCCAGTAAAAGACAAAGATGGGAAGTAACCCTGGATAGGGCCTTGATACCAGAAGGTCTTATGGAAGGGGATTCCCCTTCCAAACAGTAACCTCTCCTCCTCCTTCTCCCCTCCTTGCTGTCTTCCATACGAAAACAAGAGTCTTAAATAAAGGTAAAAGTGATGTTAAATGTTCATTTATCCATTTCATTAGTCATTTATATTTATTTCTTATTGTTTTCTGTATATAAAAATATAGTTATTCTCTATAAAATGTATTATAAGAAGAGCAGAGTATATGGAGAGTAAAAGAAAGGTGAAGAGAGTGGTGAGAGAGTGCAGATGATAGAGTGGGAGGGGCACTGTCAAGAAATTTTAATGAAAATAAGAAAAAATTTTGGAGTGAGTTAAACAAGTTAAGAAAGCCTAGAGAACATATGGATTTGTCAGTTAAAAACAGAGTAGGGGAGTTAGTAGATGGGGAGAGGGAGGTATTAGGTAGATGGTGAGAATATTTTGAGGAACTTTTAAATGTTGAGGAAGAAAGGGAGGCGGTAATTTCATGCACTGGCCAGGGAGGTATACCATCTTTTAGGAGTGAAGAAGAGCAGAATGTAAGTGTGGGGGAGGTACGTGAGGCATTACGGAGAATGAAAGGGGGTAAATCAGCTGGAACTGATGGGATCATGACAGAAATGTTAAAAGCAGGGGGATATATATTGTTGGAGTGGTCGGTACTTTTGTTTAATAAATGTATGAAAGAGAGGAAGGTACCTAGGGATTCACGGAGAGCATGTATAGTCCCTTTATATAAAGGGAAGGGGGACAAAAGAGATTGTAAAAATTATAGAGGAATAAGTTTATTGAGTATACCAGGAAAAGTGTACGGTAGGGTTATTATTGAAAGAATTAGAGGTAAGACAGAATGTAGGATTGCGGATGAGCAAGGAGGTTTCAGAGTGGGTAGGGGATGTGTAGATCAAGTGTTTACATTGAAGCATATATGTGAACAGTATTTAGATAAAGGTAGGGAAGTTTTTATTGCATTTATGGATTTAGAAAAGGCATATGATAGAGTGGATAGGGGAGCAATGTGGCAGATGTTGCAAGTATATGGAAGAGGTGGTAAGTTACTAAATGCTGTAAAGAGTTTTTATGAGGATAATGAGGCTCAGGTTAGGGTGTGTAGAAGAGAGGGAGACTACTTCCCAGTAAAAGTAGGTCTTAGACAGGGATGTGTAATGTCACCATGGTTGTTTAATATATTTATAAATGGATTCGTAAAAGAAGTAAATGCTAGGGTGTTCGGGAGAGGGGTGGGATTAAATTATGGGGAATCAAATACAAAATGGGAATTGACACATTTACTTTTTACTGATGATACTGTGCTTATGGGAGATTTTAAAGAAAAATTGCAAAGGTTAGTGAATGAGTTTGGGAGTGTGTGTAAAGGTAGAAAGTTGAAAGTGAACATACAAAGGAGTAAGGTGATGAGGGTATCAAATGATTTAGATAAAGAAAAATTGGATATCAAATTGGGGAGGAGGAGTATGGAAGTGAATGTTTTCAGATACTTGGGAATTGTGTCGGCGGATAGATTTATGAAGGATGAGGTTAATCATAGAATTGCTGAAGGAAAAAAGGTGAGTGGTGCGTTGAGGTATATGTGGAGTCAAAAAACGTTATCTATGGAGGCAAAGAAGGGAATGTATGAAAGTATAGTAGTACCAACACTCTTATATGGGTGTGAAGCTTGGGTTGTGAATGCAGCAGCGAGGAGGCGGTTGGATGCAGTGGAGATATCCTGTCTAAGGGCAATGTGTGGTGTAAATATTATGCAGAAAATTCGGAGTGTGGAAATTAGGAGAAGTTGTGGAGTTAATAAAAGTATTAGTCAGAGGGCTGAAGAGGGGTTGTTGAGGTGGTTTGGTCATTTAAAGAGAATGGATCAAAGTAGAATGACATGGAGAGGTAGGGGTCGTCCTCGAAAAGGTTGGAAGGAAGGGGTGAGGGAAGTTTTGTGGGCGAGGGGCTTGGACTTCCAGCAGGCGTGCATGAGCGTGTTCGGTAGGAGTGAATGGAGATGAATGGTATTTGGGACCTGACGATCTGTTGGAGTATGGGAAGTACAATGCCTGCACTCTAAGGGAAGGGTTTCGGGATATTAGCAGTTTGGAGGGATATGTTGTGTATCTTTATACATATATGCTTCTAAACTGTTGTGTTCTGAACACCTCTGCAAAAACAGTGATTATGTGTAAGTGAGGTGAAAGTGTTGAATGATGATGAAAGTATTTTCTTTTTGGGGATTTTCTTTATTTTTTTGGGTCACCCTGCCTCGGTGGGAGATGGCCGACTTGTTGAAAAAAAAAAAAAAAATTTGGGTGTGGAACGGATTAATTGGATTTACATTATTTCTTTTGGGAAATATTGCTTCAGTTTTTATCAGACTCTTTAGAACAAATTAATCATGAAAACTGAGGTTCCACTGTATATCTAGACTATCTTCATAAAAAATTTAAGGTCTGTGCTCATTTGGACCTGGGGCTATCACTGGTTGCTGCTAAGTAAACTGAGGTTAGATTTGTCAAAATTGTTATTATATTCAGTTGCTGGAGGCATTTGGTGGGTCACTGATGTATTTATATTCATGGGGAGGTGCTAAATCTATAATGGTAAGTAATCAGGTTTGATCCAAGGAAGGAGAGTGTAGCTCCCATTCTTTGCACCAAAGCATCAAGGCACCCCTTCCCCTCCCTTAAAAGATTTAAGTCTGAAATATTCAAAGAGTTTGGTGGCACATTCATAACACCTTATTTCCACAATTACAGAGAAGCATTTATGCTTAAGTAACAGTGCATTGTTAAACCATATAACTTTTCAAGATAAAGTAAGGAGTATGAATTTATCTCAAATGAAAATTGCATATTAATGGGCCATCCTCCTGAGAGTTATCAGAGCTGTTATAAGATCAACAGATCTCAACAGTGATGATTAACTTAAAATAGGAAGTTAAAAAACATACCGTACATGAATATCTACACTTTATAATTACAATAGAATAACTGCTTAACTGATAAATTCAACATAAAACTTACAATCTTAATTCATATTTTTGGTTTTAGCTTTTGTAATGAAGCAATGTCTTCACTCTCATTCTGAGGGAAATAATCCTTGTATAAATCCATTTGTGAAGTTTTGAGTAAACTGGAATCTTTCAAATGTTGTTCAAGCCAGAGGGACAATGCAAACCTGAAAAACAAAAGGTATACAATATGGTAAACTACTGAGTTGTGCATAAATTTCATTTGCTTCAGTTACAACAACACACTCTACAGGCAGTGTTTTGCTATTGGAATGGATTCATCTATCAGTGTAGTCCTTGCCAATCTGTTTATGGAATGCATGGAGGCAGAACACTTCATATGAAACATTATCCCCAATAATGTAACTTCTTTCAACAAACCGGCTGTATCCCACCGAAGCAGAGTGGCCCAAAAAGAAAAAAGTTTCTCTTTTTAACTTTAGTAATGTATACAGGAGAAGAGCATATTAGTTGCCTCTTACAACATGCATGGCTTATGGAGGAAGAATTCTGTTTCACTTCCCCGTGGAGATAAGAGGAAATAAACAAGAATAAGAATTAGTAAGAAAATAGAAGAAAACCCAGAAGGGTGTGTATATATATGATTGTATGTGCATGTGTAACGTAACTTAAGTGTAAATAGAAGTAACAAGACGTACCTGAAATACTGCATGTTTATTAGACTGAAAAAAGTCACCAGCAATCCTATCGTCTTGTAAAACAAGTACAGTGGACCCCCGCATAACGATCACCTCCCAATGCGACCAATTATGTAAGTGTATTTATGTAAGTGCGTTTGTACGTGTATGTTTGGGGGTCTGAAATGGACTAATCTACTTCTCAATATTCCTTATGTGAACAAATTCGGTCAGTACTGGCACCTGAACATACTTCTGGAATGAAAAAATATCGTTAACCGGGGGTCCACTGTACAGGTTTCCATTTTACATTCACTTGGCAGGACAGTAGTACCTCTCTGGGTGGTTGCTTTCTACCACCCTACTACCTAAGTAATGTAACATGGTTACATTATGTAGACTACATACTTATTATAGCCGCTAGAAAGATACATGTTGGAGATCTATGAATGAGCTAGTTTACCTTGGAAGCAAAGAGAGCAGTGTTCCCATCTTAGATGGTTTATCTCATCAATCCAACGACAACACTTAAGTTCCATGTCTATTTTAGACTCAATAACAAGAATGACTTGCTTCATCTTTATTCCAACCAAAAAAAGTGAATCAAATTAGGAGTGGTAATATGATTTTTCTTAGAGCACACAGGATTAGCAGCCCCCATTATTCAGAGAGCGTGCCTATATGCACCACATTTATACAAAACTGCAATTCCCTTCAAATTTTCTCAGAGAATGCAGAAAGAGGGTTTTGTGCATAATCAACTGGAGCCACACCTAAAACTTGTATCATTCTTCTTAATAACAGTATAGTTAAAAGCTTTGCCAAGTCCCTCTCATCATTTAACATCAGAGTAGATGTAGTTAAGACACATAGGCAACATTTAAGCAACTTTATTCCAAAACGTTTCGCCTACACAGTAGGCTTCTTCAGTCGAGTACAGAAAGTAGGCAGGAGCAGTAGAGATGTGAAGATGATGTAATCAGTCCATCACCCTTAAAGTTGTAGATTTGAGGTTGTCAGTCCCTCAGCCTGGAGAAGTTCTGTTCCAAAGTCTGGAACTAACTGAAGATCAAGCGACAGTGTTGAGACTTAAATACTGTCAGAAAGAGAGGTGCAGAGTAGTAGTAGTAGTGAGAGTGTAGCCACTGAGAGGTCACGTCTCTCTCAGAATGAACGGTTCTCACTTGAAGAAGTTGTCCAAGGTGTTTTCTCTTCTGTACCAAGATGCCATTGTGTTGCAGTGTCTGTCAGACACAATGATGCAGTCTGTCAAACACTGCAACACAATGGCATCTTGGTACAGAAGAGAAAACACCTTGGACAACTTCTTCAAGTGAGAACCGTTCGTTCTGAGAGGGGCGTGACCTCTCAGTGGCTACAATCTCACTACTACTACTACTCTGCACCTCTCTTTCCGACAGTATTTAAGACTCAACACTGTCGCTTGATCTTCTGTGATATGTTTCTTTTCTGTAAGTCTGATTTTTGTTCACATATTATATTAGAAAGTGAAATAAATATCTTAGTATGATTCCACATCCTTTATCCTTGAACAAAGTTTAAATTGTAGGGGGTACGAGGTTAGAGCAAAAATTTTATAGGGGTGCGGGAGTAAGAAAAGGTTGGGAACCACTGATTTAGATAAAGAAAAATTGGATATCAAATTGAGGAGGAAGAGTATGGAAGAAGTGAATATTTTCAGATATTTGGGAGTTGACGTGTCAGCGGATGGATTTATGAAGGATGAGGTTAATCATAGAATTAATGAAGGAAAAAAGGTGAGTGGTGCATTGAGGTATATGTGGAGGCAAAAAATGTTATCTATGGAGGCAAAGAAAGGAATGTATGAAAGTATAGTAGTACCAACACTCTTATATGGGTGTGAAGCTTGGGTTGTAAATGCTGCAGCGAGGAGGCGGTTGGAGGCAGTGGAGATGTCCTGTCTAAGGGCAATGTGTGGTGTAAATATTATGCAGAAAATTCGGAGTGTGGAAATTAGGAGAAGGTGTGGAGTTAATAAAAGTATTAGTCAGAGGGCTGAAGAGGGTTTGTTGAGGTGGTTTGGTCATTTAGAGAGAATGGATCAAAGTAGAATGACAAGGAGAGCGTATAAATCTGTAGGGAAAGGAAGGCGGGGTAGGGGTCGTCCCCGAAAAGGTTGGAGGGAGGGGGTAAAGGAGGTGTTGTGGGCGAGGGGTTTGGACTTCTAGCAAGCGTGCGTGAGCGTGTTAGATAGGAGTGAATGGAGGCAAATGGTATTTGGGACCTGACGATCTGTTGGAGTGTGAGCAGGGTAATATTTAGTGAAGGGATTCAGGGAAACCGGTTATTTTATATAACCGGACTTGAGTCCTGGAAATGGGAAGTACAATGCCTGCACTCTAAAGGAGGGGTTTGGGATATCGGCAGTTTGGAGAGATATATTGTGTATTTTTATACGTATATACTTCTAAACTGTTGTATTCTGGGCACCTCTGTAAAAACAGTGATTATGTGTGAGTGAGGTGAAAGTGTTGAATGATGATGAAAGTATTTTCTTTTTGGGGATTTTCTTTCTTTTTGGGTCACCCTGCCTCGGTGGGAGACGGCCGACTTGTTGAAAATTTTTTTTTTTTTTTTTTTTATTATCACACCGGCCGATTCCCACCAAGGCAGGGTGGCCCGAAAAAGAAAAACTTTCACCATCATTCACTCCATCACTGTCTTGCCAGAAGGGTGCTTTACACTACAGTTTTTAAACTGCAACATTAACACCCCTCCTTCAGAGTGCAGGCACTGTACTTCCCATCTCCAGGACTCAAGTCCGGCCTGCCGGTTTCCCTGAATCCCTTCATAAATGTTACTTTGCTCACACTCCAACAGCACGTCAAGTATTAAAAACCATTTGTCTCCATTCACTCCTATCAAACACGCTCACGCATGCCTGCTGGAAGTCCAAGCCCCTCGCACACAAAACCTCCTTTACCCCCTCCCTCCAACCTTCCTAGGCCGACCCCTACCCCGCCTTCCTTCCACTACAGACTGATACACTCTTGAAGTCATTCTGTTTCGCTCCATTCTCTCTACATGTCCGAACCACCTCAACAACCCTTCCTCAGCCCTCTGGACAACAGTTTTGGTAATCCCGCACCTCCTCCTAACTTCCAAACTACGAATTCTCTGCATTATATTCACACCACACATTGCCCTCAGACATGACATCTCCACTGCCTCCAGCCTTCTCCTCGCTGCAACATTCATCACCCACGCTTCACACCCATATAAGAGCGTTGGTAAAACTATACTCTCATACATTCCCCTCTTTGCCTCCAAGGACAAAGTTCTTTGTCTCCACAGACTCCTAAGTGCACCACTCACTCTTTTTCCCTCATCAATTCTATGATTCACCTCATCTTTCATAGACCCATCCGCTGACACGTCCACTCCCAAATATCTGAATACGTTCACCTCCTCCATACTCTCTCCCTCCAATCTGATATTCAATCTTTCATCACCTAATCTTTTTGTTATCCTCATAACCTTACTCTTTCCTGTATTCACCTTTAATTTTCTTCTTTTGCACACCCTACCAAATTCATCCACCAATCTCTGCAACTTCTCTTCAGAATCTCCCAAGAGCACAGTGTCATCGGCAAAGAGCAGCTGTGACAACTCCCACTTTGTGTGTGATTCTTTATCTTTTAACTCCACACCTCTTGCCAAGACCCTCGCATTTACTTCTCTTACAACCCCATCTATAAATATATTAAACAACCACGGTGACATCACACATCCTTGTCTAAGGCCTACTTTTACTGGGAAAAAATTTCCCTCTTTCCTACATACTCTAACTTGAGCCTCACTATCCTCGTAAAAACTCTTCACTGCTTTCAGTAACCTACCTCCTACACCATACACTTGCAACATCTGCCACATTGCCCCCCTATCCACCCTGTCATACGCCTTTTCCAAATCCATAATGCCACAAAGACCTCTTTAGCCTTATCTAAATACTGTTCACTTATATGTTTCACTGTAAACACCTGGTCCACACACCCCTACCTTTCCTAAAGCCTCCTTGTTCATCTGCTATCCTATTCTCCTTTCTTACTCTTAATTCTTTCAATTATAACTCTACCATACACTTTACCAGGTACACTCAACAGACTTATCCCCTATAATTTTTGCACTCTCTTTTATCCCCTTTGCCTTTATACAAAGGAACTATGCATGCTCTCTGCCAATCCCTAGGTACCTTACCCTCTTCCATACATTTTATTAAATAATTGCACCAACCACTCCAAAACTATATCCCCACCTGCTTTTAACATTTCTATCTTTATCCCTTTCAATCCCGGCTGCCTTACCCCCTTTCATTTTACCTACTGCCTCACGAACTTCCCCCACACTCACAACTGGCTCTTCCTCACTCCTACAAGATGTTATTCCTCCTTGCCCTATACACGAAATCACAGCTTCCCTATTTTTCATCAACATTTAACAATTCCTCAAAATATTCCTTCCATCTTCCCAATACCTCTACCCTCCATTTAATAACTCTCCTCTCCTATTTTTAACTGACAAATCCATTTGTTCTCTAGGCTTTCTTAACTTGTTAATCTCACTCCAAAACTTTTTCTTTTTTCAACAAAATTTGTTGATAACATCTCACCCACTCTCTCATTTGCTCTCTTTTTACATTGCTTCACCACTCTCTTAACTTCTCTCTTTTTCTCCATATACTCTTCCCTCCTTGCATCACTTCTACTTTGTAAAAACTTCTCATATGCTAACTTTTTCTCCCTTACTATATATTCTTTCTTTCAACACACCGGCCGTATCCCACCGAGGCGGGGTGGCCCAAAAGGAAAAACGAAAGTTTCTCCTTTTACATTTAGTAATATATACAGGAGAAGAGGTTACTAGCCCCTTGCTCCCGGCATTTTAGTTGCCTCTTACAACACGCATGGCTTACGGAGGAAGAATTCTGTTCCACTTCCCCATGGAGATAAGAGGAAATAAACAAGAATAAGAACTAGAAAGAAAATAGAAGAAAACCCAGAGGGGTGTGTATATATGTGCTTGTACATGTACGTGTAGTGTGACCTAAGTGTAAGTAGAAGTAGCAAGACGTACCTGAAATCTTGCATGTTCATGAGACAGAAAAAAGGACACCAGCAATCCTACCATCATGTAAAACAATTACAGGCTTTCGTTTTACACTCACTTGGCAGGACGGTAGTACCTCCCTGGGCGGTTGCTGTCTACCAACCTACTACCTATATATATATATATATATATACACACACGGTAGGGTTATAATTGAAAGAATTAGAGGTAAGACAGAATATAGGATTGTGGATGAGCAAGGAGGTTTCAGAGTGGGTAGGGGATGTGTAGATCAAGTGTTTACATTGAAGCATATATGTGAACAGTATTTAGATAAAGGTAGGGAAGTTTTTGAACATTAAAATGGTATAAAATACCGACAGGTTGTTAGGTAAGACACATATGCAACAGTTAGGTATCTTTATTTTGAAACGTTTCGCCTACACAGTAGGCTTCTTCAGTCAAGTACAGAAAAGTTGATAGAAGCAGAAGATACTTGAAGACGATGTAATCAGTCCATCACCCTTAAAGTTTTGAGGTGGTCAGTCCCTCAGTCTGGAGAAGAGCATTGTTCCATAGTATGAAACAATGCTCTTCTCCAGACTGAGGGACTGACCACCTCAAAACTTTAAGGGTGATGGACTGATTACATCGTCTTCAAGTATCTTCTGCTTCTATCAACTTTTCTGTACTTGACTGAAGAAGCCTACTGTGTAGGCGAAACGTTTCAAAATAAAGATACCTAACTGTTGCATATGTGTCTTACCTAACAGGGAAGTTTTTATTGCATTTATGGATTTAGAAAAGGCATATGATAGAGTGGATAGAGGAGCAATGTGGCAGATGTTGCAAGTATATGGAATAGGTGGTAAGTTATTAAATGCTGTAAAGAGTTTTTATGAGGATAGTGAGGCTCAGGTTAGGGTGTGTAGAAGAGAGGGAGACTACTTCCCGGTAAAAGTAGGTCTTAGACAGGGATGTGTAATGTCACCATGGTTGTTTAATATATTTATAGATGGGGTTGTAAAGGAAGTAAATGCTAGGGTGTTCGGGAGAGGAGTGGGATTAAATTTTGGGGAATCAAATTCAAAATGGGAATTGACACAGTTACTTTTTGCTGATGATACTGTGCTTATGGGAGATTCTAAAGAAAAATTAGTGGATGAGTTTGGGAATGTGTGTAAAGGTAGAAAGTTGAAAGTGAACATAGAAAAGAGTAAGGTGATGAGGGTGTCAAATGATTTAGATAAAGAAAAATTGGATATCAAATTTGGGAGGAGGAGTATGGAAGAAGTGAATGTTTTCAGATACTTGGGAGTTAACGTGTCGGCGGATGGATTTATGAAGGATGAGGTTAATCATAGAATTGATGAGGGAAAAAAGGTGAGTGGAGTCAAAAAACGTTATCTATGGAGGCAAAGAAGGGAATGTATGAAAGTATAGTAGTACCAACACTCTTATATGGGTGTGAAGCTTGGGTGGTAAATGCAGCAGCGAGGAGATGGTTGGGGGCAGTGGAGATGTCCTGTTTAAGGGCAATGTGTGGTGTAAATATTATGCAGAAAATTCGGAGTGTGGAAATTAGGAAAAGGTGTTTAGTTAATAAAAGTATTAGTCAGAGGGCAGAAGAGGGGTTGTTGAGGTGGTTTGGTCATTTAGAGAGAATGGATCAAAGTAGAATGACATGGAAAGCATATAAATCTATAGAGGAAGGAAGGCGGGGTAGGGGTCGTCCTCGAAAGGGTTGGAGAGAGGGGGTAAAGGAGGTTTTGTGGGCAAGGGGCTTGGACTTCCAGCAAGCGTGCGTGAGCGTGTTAGATAGGAGTGAATGGAGACGAATGGTACTTGGGACCTGACGATCTGTTGGAGTGTGAGCAGGGTAATATTTAGTGAAGGGATTCAGGGAAACCGGTTATTTTCTTATAGTCGGACTTGAGTCCTGGAAATGGGAAGTACAATGCCTGCACTTTAAAGGAGGGGTTTGGGATATTGGCAGTTTGGAGGGATATGTTGTGTATCTTTATATGTGTATGCTTCTAGACTGTTGTATTCTGAGCACCTCTGCAAAAACAGTGATAATGTGCGAGTGTGGTGAAAGTGTTGAATGATGATGAAAGTATTTTCTTTTTGGGGATTTTCTTTTTTGGATCACCCTGCCTCGGTGGGAGACGGCCGACTTGTTGAAAAAAAAAAAAATATGTTTCTAAACTGTTGTGTTCTGAGCATCTCTGCAAAAACAGTGATTATGTGTGAGTGAGGTGAAAGTGTTGAATGATGATGAAAGTATTTTCTTTTTGGGGATTTTCTTTCTTTTTTGGGTCACCCTGCCTCGATGGGAGATGGCCGACTTGTTAAAAAAATAAAAAAATAAAAAACATACGTACTACATAATGATCATAATGTATGTCTGCCTGAATTGCATTGTGTAACTATCAGCTTTTCCATGGATAATAGAACAATATATGTAAACTTTAGTAGTAGCAATTTGAAATATCAACTAAAATAAAATTTCCAATTGCAACTTATGTGACTTTATCAACTACAATTTGATTCTTCCTTTGATTTGATGCAGTTAAAAAAAAAAAGTTGGCTTACCATATGAAACCAAACCCACCTGCTTCCTGTACTAAGTCTTTCAAGGTTCAGCTCATTAGCTTGATCTATGTTTCTCAGTACCGATGATTCTATGCTTCCAGATGCATGCTCTATAAAAAAAAAAATAACCTGATCAGTTTACATTTTGATATAAGTGTCATAAATACAAATAAATGAGAAGATAAATCCCACATGAATGGAACATAAAATGTATCTTTTAGTCTCATATAGAGATCCTCTTTGGTCTATATTACATATTCTGATGCCAAGTTCATTTAGGAGCTCAAGAATGCAGTACATACAGTACACACTAAGTACATCCAGATGCAAAAGTGTAATAAATACTATTTAATGACAAACTATACCACATGGAGAAAATGAAACATGATAAAAATAATATTACACTGTATGTCTCAGCTCACAACTGAGGCCTCAGTGGTAGGCTGAAATATGCAGCACAAGCAATCTCCTTATCTTTGGTTTTACTTTCTTTATATGGGTTAGTTTGTGCTACAGACATAAGGAAGATCCCCCATTTATAATCGTATTGTGTTCCTGAAAATCGTTTGTTACTCAAGTGTTCAGAATTCAGAAACTATTTACCTATTGCTGTATTATCCTGTTTTAATCCAGGGTGTGCTGTCCAATCCCTCTCTCCTGTTTTCTTATACCCCTTTCTCACATTCCTTCCCTCCCACTCTTGAATCTTATCATGTATGACATTACCTGGGCAGTATCAACAATTACTGCCTCCCTCTCTCTCACTGTATCTGCCACAATACCATTTTTTTTACACATGTTCACTGTTATGATAGTATTAGATGCCTGTGGGAAGGTACTGGTGTGCTCGGGCTTTTGGTGAGGAAGGAAGGTGGTGGAGTCAAGTTATTTAAACCTCTGCATGTCAGTAACTCAACATGTGTTAGATATGACCACCCATGAGCCCCCAATCAGTAGTTCTCAACGAATTTCTACCAAACAAATATGAACTCTACACACACATGCATAAAATGAGCAGGGTAATATTTAGTGAAGGGATTCAGGGAAACCGTTTTTTTTCATATAGTCGGACTTGAGTCCTGGAAATGGGAAGTACAATGCCTGCACTTTAAAGGAGGGGTTTGGGATATTGGCAGTTTGGAGGGATATGTTGTGTATCTGTATACGTATATGCTTCTAAACTGTTGTATCCTGAGCACCTCTGCAAAAACAGTGATAATGTGTGAGTGAGGTGAAAGTGTTGAATGATGATGAAAGTATTTTCTTTTTGGGGATTTTCTTTCTTTTTTGGGTCACCCTGCCTCGGTGGGAGACGGCCGACTTGTTGAAAAAAAAAAATAACATGAACTATTAGTGCATTCAGTAAAACTGTAAAATATAATATGCATTTATAATTCAATCTTAACAAAATTGTAATTTTTAAATTTATTAAATCTACTATTCATGATAAGTCTCTAATAAATCAACAAGAACTCTCCACATTTTTTAAACATGCTGGCTGTCTCCCACTGAGGCATAAAATGAAAGGATAGTACACAAAATATAAATACATTTGGTGAGAAAATAGCCAGGAAAATTATCTAGTATTTGAATATTTGTCATGATCATACATGAAGAATGGTGTTCAAAATTGTAGATTATCATAAGTCAGAGACCTATTATGTTCATCAAGAATTAAATTTTATTATTATCATACATGTAATAAACATTTTTAACAATTGTCTTGTAATTTTAGAGTTCAGTTGTTGAAGTTTTTATTTTGTGCATTCATAAACAATTCAAGTTCCTGAAAGACCTTTTAATTTACCCTACAAAAATACAAAATATTTTCTTTTCTGCAGTATACAAGTAATGGAATTTACATATAATAAAATATTATTAGACACAAAAGAAAGCTACTAGCAGTCAGTTAAGAAAAATATCAGCACTAGACCCCATTCCTTAAACTGTACCTCCAAACTTATTGACGAGTGTAACGTGAATTTTTTCATCTTGTGAAGCTTTTCCTGCTCCCTGGTTTTGGTCTTGTTCTTCTAAGCTATCAGTCTTCCACACTGATAACTTGATAAGATCCACAGAAAGCCATACAGCAGCATCCACTTCCTCTGGGCATAGCTGCTCAGGATGTTATTATATTTTAATAAAAATACAGTAATACATACATCATGATGATTTTGTCAACTACAGTCCCTCCTCACTTAACGACGGAGTTCCGTTCCTGAGACCACATCGTTAAACGAATTCATCGTTAAGTGAGGAGCATACTATAATGGTAGTGAGTTTGTGTCAACCATCTTTGATATTGTTTTAATGTCACCTTCGCACCATTTATAACATTTCTGGTATATTTTTAAATGTTTATACAGTAGTGTACTGTACGTATATTGAAATAAACTGAATAGAGGAAATCAGCTCTAATATACATTATTTAGGTATGAATACTGGTCAGAGAGCCCATCGTAAGTCTGAGGCATTGGTATTGAGTACTCACTTCAGCTCCAAAAAATCTGATACACCATAAATTTTTTATGTGCTTTTCAGTTATAAATAATGAATTTAAAAATGTTACCCTAGTATAACATAGGAAATTTACATTAGGAATCCATAGATATAAGTACTGTACATTAACCCTTTGACTGTCGTAGGCCCCTTTCTGAAACTGTCATTCTATGTCGATAAATTTTTGGAAAAAAAAAAAAATTATTTTTTCTTATGAAATGATAGAGAATCTTTTCCCAATGGTAATGACACCAAAAGTACGAAATTTGGTCGAAAACTCACAGAATTACGCTCCCGCAAAGTTAGCGGTCTCTGCAACATATACGCATCATCGATTTCGCCGACTTTGAGCCCTGTTTTTGGCCAATTCTGTTGTTCCAGTTGACCAAACTCATAGCTATTTCTTTAGAACTCCATTTTTTCTATCTGTTGCATACAAGAAACTGCCCATTTACCGATTTGAACTACCCAATAAAGTGGTCAGAAATTGGCAATTTGGCCAATTTCATGCAAATTAAAAAAGATGCCAATTTCAAAATAGGATCCAGAATAAACAACGTAGACATTCTTGGCACTAAAATAACATATCCTCTGTTCATTAGTCACGTCTCAAGGCCCCTCTTATATTACTATTGCTTTCTATTTTGATTTTTTATTCATACAAAAAAATACAAAATTTACTGTTATGCAGACTACTGCATTATTGTAAAAATGGTATAAATAATATTAATGCACTAGTGAAAGAATATTAGACTCCCCAGTTGAAGTGTATTGGACATGTGGTGTGATTTGCTTACTCCTGAACATTGGTAAAAATCGAACATTTCCGCTACTTTGAGCTCAATTTCAAGGTCGTTTTCATCGTGAAAGTAATCAAGATCATCTCTATTTCTGTAATATGTTTAACATTTTATCACGTGAGACCATGAAAACAAGAATACAATGATAAATACTATACAAAAATACACCTCAAAGTCGGCGTTTTAATCCAAAAAAACGTTCAGTTTTTTTTCTCATTACACACTGCGTGCTGCAGGATTTTTTTTATGTGGTGCACACTGACCACACAGACCCATTCTCTCACATGTAGGCCTACCAGCTTTCTCCTGCTTGATTTGAAGCCACTAGAATTTACGCGTATAAATACGTCAGAAACAGTGGTGCGTAAGACGTATATGTACGACCGAAACAGTCAAAGGGTTAAACCTTCTATACAACAGACCTTTATACAGTATTACAAACTTCAGATATACCAAGCAAAATCTACTGAGTCAATCGATTTGGAAACAACGGACAAATTCCGCTAGTTACAAAACTGTCTATTAGTGTTACTATTATGGCAAAACAATCTCTTCTCTATCCACTATTACAGTATAATTATTAATATTGTACAGTGCTATTAATAGAGAATATGGTAAGCACATATGAAGTGCCGAGAAGAAAACTGACAAACTTGCTAGTGAGCAAAATGTGCATGACAAACAAATATTGTGTTTTCTGTAAGAATGTTTATCAGTCTTTAAAAATGAGACCAGTTTGATTGAAATTGTGTGGCTCATTATTGAGACAGTTGTAAACAAGTAGCAAACCTTTGTAAGTGATCATCTCAAAAACGACATTTGGTGAATTTGTCATTTTCTTTCATGGTGCATAGATTTCTAAGCCATTTTCACAAAAGTGACATTTGGCGAGTTGTCAATTTTCTTCTCAGCACCTCATATACAGTACATTTAAAAAGACACTGGACAAATATTATTCATCATATTAAAAACTTTGTTTAAAAGCCTTCCTTAAACAAGCAGCCTTATTTAAGTATAGAGATCTGCTGCTAATGGATTAGATTTTTACAACTTTATACAATATTTAAGCTATCCCTCTAATATTGACTATACCCCATTATCATTGAGCCAGTCTCTCTCAGTATCATCTTTAAAAAAAAAAGGCTTAACTTTTGCTATTCATCTTCATTACTAGCATTTTTTAATCCTAACTTCTTAATTCCATTATGTAACATCCCATTGTTTCCCTCCCATTCCAAAAAAAAAAAAAACTTTCTGAAAAGCTCAATATGATTTGTCATGTTATTATTATAATCAAGGGGGAAGTGCTAAACCTGTAGGATTATGCAGTGCCTGTGGGGGGAATGGAAGGTATTCAGGCTTAATTCAGGGAACTGGAGCACAGATCCAGTTCCCTAGATCGAGCCCCTCACCAGCATCAGGGAACCTTCCTTGAGGAGGTGATTTATCATAGTGTTCAGAATTAAAGACCTATGAAGTTTATTGCTACACAATCCAAAAGGTTACTGAATATGTTTAAATTACCTTAAACTCTTTTTGTAGTTCTTCTGAAGCTCTTTGAAGGACTATGTGTAAATATACAACAATGTGGTGTCGCCTTGGTTGACCCATTGACAGTAGTGGGGGAAATACTGACTCCCAGAGACCCAGGATGTGAACACTCTGGTACTCTTCTGCTGTGATTACTAGACCTGTCTCTTCCATGAGTTCTCTTAATGCTGCATCTTCTAAGTTCTCTCCTTCCTCTGTAATCCAATTTGATATCAGTTGCCATGTAAAAGGATATGTGCAACTGAGATATTTTACTGCAGCAAGCCAATACATATTGGCTTGTTGCAATAAAATATCTCATTGGTTGCATGTCTTTTTACCTAATGTATTGTCGGTAATTCTACGTTGTTTCTATCAATTAACTGAAAATTCAGAGTAAAAAATGCACGAGGCAAATAGGTTGTGATGTACAAATCATCCTTCACATGATTCCTTTTTTTTTTTTTAACCAAATTTTGTTCCTTCCTTGTTTAAAAATTTAAGTCACTTTTTCTTGCTCCTACTTTCTAATGATTAGTCATCCCTACAAATTCATGAGTTTTAATTATCCAACATTTTTACTGATAAGCAGTCTACAACTATATTAAATTATCTAATGTTCTTCTGGCTGTATGGTTTTCCCATCCCCAAATCTCTCTATTCTAGTAATTATCTATATGTATATAAAACAAACATACACAAAACAAACAAACAAACATCCACCCATATGATAAAACTTAACTCTGAGTTAAGCAGAGTCCCAGTAAAAGCATATTCAGAATGTTGTACCCATTAAACAAACCTACCCACATGACCACCTGGAGGTACCCATACTCCAGCAAAGGTTCGCATGTGTTTAGCTCTTCTGGTCAGTAACAGGCATTTGTCACTAGACTCCAGAAGAACTGCTACACCAACATCAACTCCTCGGGTGGCAATATCTAGTGGTAGCGCAGCAGAGCCTTCCTTATCTAGATGTTGAATGGGGCAGAATGGTGGATGCTACAAAAAAGAACAATATCATCTAAATTATTATTACAGTATCATGTTCATGTAAAATCCTAGGTAGTAAGTTGGTAGACAGTAACTGCCCAGGGAGGTACTACCGTCCTGTCAAGTGAGTGTAAAACGGAAACCTGTAATTGTTTTACATGATGGTAGGATTGCTGGTGTCTTTCTTCTGTCTCATAAACATGCAAGATTTCAGGTACGTCTTGCTACTTCTTCTTACACTTAGGTCACACTACACATACATGCACAAGCATATATATATATATATAATATATATATATATATATATATATATATATATATATATATATATATATATAATATATATATATATATATATATATATATATATATTATATATATATATATATATATATATATATATATATATATACACACACACACCCCTCTGGGTTTTCTTCTATTTTCTTACTAGTTCTTGTTCTTGTTTATTTCCTGTTATCTCCATGGGGAAGTGGATCAGAATTCTTCCTCCGTAAGCCATGCGTGTTGTAAGAGACGAATAAAATACCAGGAGCACAGGGCTAGTAATCCCTTCTCTTTACTAAATGTAAAAGGAGAAACTTTCGTTTTTCCTTTTGGGCCACCCCGCCTCAGTGGGATACGGCCGATGTGTTGAAAGAAAGAAGAAAGAAATATACATATACGTATATATACAGTATGTATTTTTTTTTTTTTTCAACAAGTCGGCCGTCTCCCACCGAGGCAGGGTGACCCAAAAAGAAAGAAAATCCCCAAAAAGAAAATACTTTCATCACTCACTCACACATAATCACTGTTTTTGCAGAGGTGCCCAGAATACAACAGTTTAGAAGTATATAGGTATAAAAATGCACAATATATCTCTCCAAACTGCCAATATCCCAAACCCCTCCTTTAGAGTGCAGGCATTGTACTTCCCTTCTGGGTTTTCTTCTATTTCCTTACTAGTTCTTGTTCTTGTTTATTTTCTCTTATTTCCATGGTGAATTGGAACAGAATTTTTCCTCCATAAGCCATGCGTGTCGTAAGAGGCGACTAACATGCTGGGAGTAAGGGGCTAGTAACCCCTTCTCCTGTATGCATTACTAAAGTTAACAAGAGAAACTTTCGTTTTTCTTTTTGGGCCACCCTGCCTTGGTGGGATACGACCGGTTTGTTGAAAGAAAGAAGATTTATGTAAAATGCTAAACCTGTGCCAGTGGCTCATCACTTCATGGAAAAATGTGTGGCTGACATGCTACTGGCTTTCTTTTGTGCCTAACAATAGTTTATTACACATAAACTACATTATCTGTATACTACATAAAAGAAATAAAGTATTTGAATTTAAATATGAATGGTAAAAGGAGGATGATATATTAAAGTGCAAGAAATAAATATGGGTTAAAAAGGTCAGAAAAAAATTGTATTTGAGATGGGGCTTTTAGAAAAGAAAGAAAATTCTCACTGAAAATGCCCATGTTCGAAAATGATGTGACCAATGCTGCAATAAGAGTATTGTTTTCCACTACCAACATCACTGAAGATAGGATGGCCAGAAGCTCAATGGTCATTGACTCAGACCAGTGGCACTACCAGCGATATTGCAAATGTTGATTTAGTACTGGAAAATTGTAAATAAAAAAAAGGGAAACTCTACAGGAGGCTAGTAGGTTTTGAACTTGGTTATGTGCAGAAGTCTGCTAGCTCATTGCTCTAAACACCAGCAAAAGATGATTTTTTTATATCTGCTCTATATATATATGTGACACATCCAGCATTAAATAAATGAGAAAAAAGGTTGTGAAGAATTTAAGTTTTGGATAATCTTCCAAAGATTATCAAGGCTAATTCATCTACTTCATAAACTAGAATTATCATACATTATTACTGCATTAAACTCCATAGTTGAATGTTATCAAACAGTTTGCAACTATCATATCAGTAATCATACTTGCCATAATTTTATAAAGAGCAGGCAGCTTTGCCCTAATAGTAGAAGCACCAGCATTTTTACTCTTATCTAAATCTGGACACTGTATGAAGAGTTGATTATTCTCTAAACTGCACTCAACAAATCCATCACCAGGAAGTCCTAATTGGTCCAGAACACATTCATTGAATTTGGCTGTCTTGTATGCTGTGTTTGATGTCTTGCGCAGGTGGACAAGGACCCTTGTAAGACTGGTGTTTGCCATGGCTTTAAAAGAAAATAGTTACAGTATTTGAAATTTATATTACTGTAATTGCTTCTATAAAAAAAAAGCTGCAAATGGTATTAGTTTACTTGATAACATGGATAGAATCTGCTGCCTGGTGGCAAAAGCTCTCGCTTCATACAGCAACGGTCCGGGCAAAGGAGGTGGAAACATCGGATGTGTTTCCTTACACCAATTGTCTGTGTTCACCCATCAATAAAATGGGTACAGGTCCGCCATCACTAATCCAGCATCATTGGGACCTGTAGTGTGCCGGAGTAGTGAGGATGCCATATTACAGAGTGGTTAGGTTAGAATACACTTAACGTAACAATAAAGACTTTCTGCTACATCTTCCTCATTTTCATCACTGCTTTCTCCTCCACTGGCTTGCTGCTCTGGATTTACAACCATATGCACAATTTCTGAGTCAGTATAAAGATGAAATTTGAGTCAGTATAATGATTTGAGTCAGTATAAGGATGATATTTGAAATTATGCTAGCCGAAATTAGTGCCTTATTACTGATGGAACCGGATAACTGATTGCCGGATTAGTGATGGCCAACCTGTACCTGGATGTTAATTGACTGGTGTGGGTCGCATCCTGGGACAAAACTGACCTAATTTGCCTGAAATGCTCTGCATAACAAGGGGTTTTCTGTATAGTAGTATGACATTGATGTCAACTAGGCCTGTATACCTTGTATATGTACTTGTAGTAAATAAAGACATTATTATTATACAGTGGTATCACGGGATACGAACAGCTCAAAACTCGAACAATTATGTAAGTGTATTTATGTAAGTGCTTTTGTAAGCGTATTTTTGGGGGTCTGAAACGGATTAATCTAATTTACATTATTCCTTATGGGAACAAATTCATTCGGTATCGGCACTCGGAGAGCCTTCTGGAACGAAATAAATTCGTATCCTGAGGTACCACTGTATTATTACAGTGGACCCCCGCATAACGATTACCTCCAAATGTGACCAATTATGTAAGTGTATTTATGTAAGTGCGTTTGTACGTGTATGTTTGGGGGTCTGAAATGGACTAATCTACTTCACAATATTTCTTATGGGAACAAATTCGGTCAGTACTGGCGCTTGAACATACTTCTGGAGTGAAAAAATATCGTTAACCAGGGGTCCACTGTATTTAAACAACTGTCTTCAGTCTTATGTCCAGAAGACAATTTAAAACCCAGTTAATTGTCTGAGATACTGTATCTGTAATTCTATACAAGTCCAAAACTATGACTGGCAAATCATCCTGTAGAACAGATGCCAGTATGTAATTCTCCCAGATTAGTAAGAATGTGAACTCTTTGCTTGCCCAAGCCTTTGAACTAAGAAGGATCTTCTGTTTTAAAATACATATACACTGGAAAAAAGTGGCTAAATGAAATGAGGGGACTTTTCACAAGCCATAGCCTTCCTCTCCTCATAAAGTCACTAACAATCATGGCTATCAATTAAATACTAGAGAATTATAAGAACAATTAAGATAAATGTATATTGTATATAAGATGCTAATATATAATACAACAGTCACTTCTGGTTAAGATTAAGGCATATCCTGAAAGAATTTTTTTTTTTTTCTTCAACAAGTCGGCCGTCTCCCACCGAGGCAGGGTGACCCAAAAAAGAAAGAAAATCCCCAAAAAGAAAATGCTTTCATCATCATTCAACACTTTCACCACACTCACACAAAATCACTGTTTTTGCAGAGGTGCTCAGAATACAACAGTTTAGAAGCATATACGTATAAAGATACACAACATATCCCTATAGTCACTATGAAGTCCTATCTTATATTTAAACCAATGATAGTTCTAATATTAGAAAAAAATTATTATCAATGAACCTGGAATTTAGCAGACCTTAACATAACTGACTTCAGAAATACAGGACAAAATCTGGTAGGTCGAGTCACTGAGAAACAAAGACTGTTACCAAAATGTCCATTATTTTTACAATCACAGCAAAATAGACTCACCTCTATCCTGTCATTTTGATACCTATTAGTCCATTAAATCATGAATTTGCTGATACTATATCCAATGATGAATCTTTAATCCCTCATAAATTATTATTATAATAAAAAATTACTAAACCCACTAGGGTCATACAGCAGTCCCTCATAAATGCTTTCTAATTATGGTACTTTTTGGCATCGTAGAGTGACTTTAAATACAGTGGTCCCTCGTTTTTCGTAGTTCTCGGGAATCATAGATTTCGGAAATCATAGAGATATTTTCGTATAAACATGGGCTCACTAATCATAGGTTGACTCGCGAATAGTAGTTAATCCGGGATGCGTACGCACGGTGTGAGCCGGGGCAGCCTCCCTACCCAGCCAGTCTGGCATTGTTTACCAGTGAGCAAAGGTCCCCTCACGTGCTCCTACGAAATATTTCATAATATTCCACTCATTTTAGTGCTTGCAAGTACTAAATAAGCTACCAATACTCCAAAGAAAGCTCCTAGTACCAAACCTGTGGTAAAGGTGAGAAATATGATTGAATTTAAGAAAAACATCATTGAACAATATGAAAGTGGCACAAGTGAGGCCAAACTGGCAAGGATGTATAAGAAACCCTACACAACCATATGTTCCATTGTGGCCAAGAAAAAGGAAATCAAGGATGCTGTTGTTGCAAAGGGGGTAGCTATGCTGACAAAAATGAGATCACCAGTACTCGAAGATGTTGAGAAGTTATTATTGATGTGGATAAACGAGAAACAATTAGCAGGAGATACTCTTATGACTTCGATTATTTGTGAAAAGGCTAGGCAGTTGCACAACAATCTGGTAAAGAAATTGCCTGCAAATAGTGGTGATGTGAGTGAATTTAAGGCCAGCAAAGGTTGGTTTGAGAGATTTAAGAACCGTACTGGCATACACAGTGTGGTAAGGCATGGTGAGGCTGCCAGTTCAGACCACAAGGCGGCTGAAAAATATGTGCATGGATTCAAGGAGTACATAGAGGCTGAAGGACTGAAACCTGAACAAGTGTTCAATTGTGATGAAACAGGCCTCTTTTGGAAGAAAATGCCAAAGAGGACCTTCATTACACAGGAGGAAAAGGCAATGCAAGGACACAAGCCTATGAAAGACAGGCTGACGCTCATGTTCTGTGCTAATGCTAGTGGGGATTTCAAAGTGAAGCCATTACTAGTGTACCATTCTGAAAATCCCAGAGTGTTCAAGAAAAGCAATGTTATGAAGAGTAAATTGTGTGTGTTTTGGAGATCTAATAATAAGGCATGGGTCATGAGAGAAATTTTCGTCAAGTGGTTCAATGAAGTGTTTGGCCCTAGTGTGAAGAATTACCTCCTGGAAAAGAAATTGGATCTCAAGTGCCTGCTAGTAATGAACAATGCACCTGCTCATCCTCCAAACTTGGATGACCTAATTTTCGAGGAGTTTGGGTTCATCACAGTAAAGTTCTTGCCCCCGAATACCACTCCTCTCCTCCAGCCCATGGACCAGCAGGTCATTGCAAACTTTAAAAAACTCTACACCAAAGCAATGTTTCACAGGTGCTTGACTGTGACCACAGACACTCACTTGACCCTAAGGGAATTTTGGAGAGAACACTTCAGCATCCTCCATTGCATAACCCTCATAGGTATGGCTTGGGAGGGAGTGCCTACCAGGACTTTGAACTCTGCTTGGAGAAAATTGTGGCCAGATTGTGTCGACAAGAGGGATTTTGAAGGGTTTGGGACTGACCCTGATGAGCCTATATCTGTTGTTAAATCAATTGTGGCACTGGGGAGTTCCATGGGGTTGGATGTGAGTTTGGAGGATGTGGAAGAGTTGGTGGAAGACCACAACGAAGAGCTCACCACTGAGGAGCTGCAAGAGCTTCAGCAGGAACAGCAACAGATCGCAGCTCAGAATCTTGCTGCAGAGGAGGAGGAAGAGAGATGGAAAAAGGTGCCTTCTTCAGAAATTAAAGAGATTTTTGCTATGTGGGGTAAGATGGAAAGCTTTACGGAGAAACATCACCCTGACAAGGTTATTGCAAGCCATGTTGGCAACATGTACAGTGACAAAGTCTTGGGCCATTTTAGGGAAGTGTTAAAGAGACGCCAGAAACAGAGCTCTCTCCACAGTTATTTTGCGAGACAGGACTCCAGTGACTCTCAAGGTGGTCCTAGTGGCATTAAGAAACAGAGAAGAGAAGCAACCCCAAAAAAGCAATTGGTACCAGAGGTGTTGTTGGAAGGGGATTTCCCTTCCAAACTGTAAACAATCCAATCTCTTTCCTCCTCCAGTCTCCCATACACTAAGAAGAATCTCGAATAAAGGTACGTGTTATGCTGTTAATGTTTCATTCATCATTTCCCATTGTATTGCTTATGTACTACATCTATATTTCATGTAAAAAATTTTTTTGTTTTAATACTTTTGGGTGTCAGGAACGGATTAATTTTTTTTTTTTTTTTATTATTATTATCACACTGGCAGATTCCCACCAAGGCAGGGTGGCCCGAAAAAGAAAAACTTTCACCATCATTCACTCCATCACTGTCTTGCCAGAAGGGTGCTTTACACTACAGTTTTTAAACTGCAACATTAGCACCCCTCCTTCAGAGAGTGCAGGCACTGTACTTCCCATCTCCAGGACTCGAGTCCGGCCTGCCGGTTTCCCTGAACCCCTTCATAAATGTTACTTTGCTCACACTCCAACAGCATGTCAAGTATTAAAAACCATTTGTCTCCATTCACTCCTATCAAACATGCTCACGCATGCCTGCTGGAAGTCCAAGCCCCTCGCACACAAAACCCCCTTTACCCCCTCCCTCCAACCTTTCCTAGGCCGACCCCTACCCCGCCTTCCTTCCACTACAGACTGATACACTCTTATGGGGAAAATTGATTCGCAAATCGTAGATTTCGATAATAGTAGCAACTCCAGGAACGGATTAACTACGAAAAACGAGGGACCACTGTACAGTGATATCCAGTAGTTATTAAATGTCCATTAACTCGTATATTTACAGATCCATAAATGCAGTTCACTTCTCTGTAATGAAAGAAACAAATTTGCATAAAATTTTCACCCAAGATTATGGTATGTACCATGTCCTCGATTTTAGTTGTGACATTTTTATAGTATTAATAATATCTTTATTTCTACAAGTACATGTACAAGCTATACAAGCCTAGCCAACATCAATGACATACTACTATATAGAATGCCACTCGTTATGCAAAGCATTTTGGACAAATTAGGTCAGCTTTGTCCCAGGATGTGACCCACACCAATTGACTAACACCCAGGTACCACTTTTATACTGATGGATGAACATGGACAGCAGGTGTCTTATGGAAGCACATCATAATGTTATCCAGCCATACTGGAGATTCGAACTTCAGACCTCAGTGTGTGAGCTGAGTGCTCTAGTGACCGAGCTACGGGACACCTTGGTATGGTAAAGTACCTTAATAAATGATACAGTACTTTAAATTAATGCAGAGAAAATCTACGACATAAAATGAGAGAGAGATAAAATAAGAGTTTGTTCAGCTTTTTAACCACAGAGGGTTAACCACCCAGGATAACCCAAAAAAGTCAGTACATCATTGAAGGGCTGTCTTATTTCTATTGGGGTTCTTAAATCTTGTCCCCCAGGATGTGACCCACACCAGTCGATTAACACCCAGGTACCTACTTGCTTGCTAGGTATAAGGAAACATGCCCAATGTTTCCACCCTTGCCGGGGATCAAACTATGGATACTCGGTGTGTGTAAGGCGAGCATTTCCTACCAGGCCATGGGACACCTTAGTACCACAAATACATACTGTAAGTACCATGGTGGCCCTGGTGGCTAACGCTCTCGCTTCACACGGCGAGGGCCTGGGTTCGATTCCCAGCCAGAGTAGAAACATTGGACGTGTTTCTTTCCACCTGTTGTCTATGTTCCCCATCAGTAAAATGGGTACCTGGGTGTTAGTCGACTGGTGCGGGTTGCATCCTGGAACACTGACCTAATTTGCCCGAAATGCAGAGCATAACAAGGGAGTTTCTATATAGTAGTATGTCATTGTTGTCAGCTAGGACTATATACCTTGTACATGTACTTGTAGTAAATAAAGATATTATTATTATTATTATTGCATGGTGCCTGTAAAGTAGTGGTGATTGCAGGTAGTTCACAAACAAAAAATCCCAGGTTCAAATCTGAACTAGAGTGAGATGTACACCAGCATGGGTAAATCCCTTCACAATCTGAAAAATACTCATCTGCTGTCACAGCACACACATTCTAAGCACATAAACATAATTAGCACATTTTGTGGACTTAACAGAGGACAAGCACCTAAAGTCGGTACCTGAGCAGCCGGGCTGTGGCTCGTACGTTGGATTGCATGCAGCCAGCAGTAACAGCCTGGTTGATCAGGCTCTGATCTACCGTGAGGCCTGGTCACAGACCGGGCCATGGGGGCGTTGACCCCCAGAACTCTCTCCAGGTAAACTCCAGGATAACCCAATAGTTATACAAAAAAAATTCAGTCACATGGGAGCTTTATTATCTTGACAGTGCTCCTGTGTGAAATACTGTTATTAAAAAGTGCTTCATACTGCTTTTGTCTTATTGTCCACCTGGGTTTTAGTAAACTTGTGGGTTACATCTTCTGGATGGTTAAATTCTTTACTGAAGGGACTCACTAAGCTAAAAGAGATTCCTTTCACTGACAGTTATTATTACAACAATCAAAACTAAGTGCTAAACCCACAAGAGTCATCTTTTACTGACAATATTATTACAATCAAAACTAAGCACTAAACCCCCACAAGGGTTATCTTTCACTGACAGGAGTTAATATTATTATTATTATCAAAACAAAGTGCTAATCAGTGTCTGGAGTAAACTATTATGGTGTATATTAATATTATTATTATATAATTATGGGGGAGCGCTAAACCCGTAGGATTATACAGCACATGTGGGGGATGTAAGGCATTCAGGGAACCAGAGCACAGATCCAATTCCCTAGATCAAGAGCCCCTCACCAGTATAAAGGAACCTCCCTTGCGGGGTATGGTGTAAATATTTAAGAGGTCTATCTTAATAAATAAAATGCCAAGTTAAACTAGTAATGCTAATGATTTTATATTAACCCAGAGGGCTAGTAACCCAGGATAACCCAATAAAGTAAATTTATTCAGGTATACACAAATACGGTTACATAGATTATCATACAGAAAGAACCTAGACCAGCGATGGGCAACCCTTGGCACGCGTGCCAAACCTGCCACGCCAACGGCTTCTTTCCGGCACGCTAGCCTCTGGTCTCATCTCAAAAAAAAAAAAAAAAACGTGACATTTATCACGTATCTGTTCCAAGAAAAGTGGGGAAATAGTCCTCATATGTCTCCAGAGATTTTATATCAACTTTGGCATGCACAATTAAAAAGGTTGCCCACCTAAAGTCAGTTCCTGATCAGCCGGGCTGTGGCTCGTACGTTGGTTTGCGTGCAGCTAGCAGCAACAGCCTGGTTGATCAGACTCTGATCCACCAGGAGGCCTGGTCACAGACCGGGCCGCGGGGGCGTTGACCCCCGGAACTCTCTCCAGGTAAACCCCTGACAAAGGATAGCCCACAAAAGTCAGTGACTTATTTTCATTAGGGATGGTCTGTCTTAATTTCCACTGGGGGTACTTAAATCTTCTCTCCCCAGGATGCAACCCAAAACAGTTGACTAACACTGAGGTACCTACTCAGTGTTAGGCGAACAGGGGCAGGTGTAATGAAAGACCCCAATCGAAAGAACACTTTGTGGATGTGACCTGAACCTGACTGCTTTGGGCCAGTAGTTGATTAGGACGCGCCTAGCATAGGCCAGTAGGCCTGCAGCAGTGCTCCTTTATCTTCTTTTGTTTTTATGTCTGACTTTTTTTTTTAATATTCTATGTAATTTACACTGTGATAATTGTACTCATGTGTACCTGTGCCTAAATAAGCTTACTAATTCCTAGTCCCTCAGTACGTGAGCTGATAACACTATTAACCCAGCCAAAATCACCTCGTATATTAAGATAAAATGTCTATACCAAAATATGTTACCTCAGAATAAGTCACTTTGACTTTTTCTGGTTATCCTGGGTAACTTAAACATGTGTTACTATGTGTAACTGTATTTATGTATACCTGAATAAACTGTAATATACCTTTCCATATGGCTCTCCCAAAGTGATTTAGATGATTCAGCATCAAAGTTATCTTATTCATCATTGGAACATACAAGATACTCTTCAGAAAATATACCCAAGACAATACATAATTACAATGGATAGTGTTAGAAACTTACCAGTGTTATCCTAGGCAGATTACACATAGGTTACTATGTAAGACAATAGTAACTATCCAAAAATCAAACTACGTTAAGTAATTTGATTCAGGTTATTTGTGTATCGTTCCAGTGACGGTATTGTGCCTTTTTTGTTATTTAGGTATACACAAAGTTATATAGGTTATCATACATAGCATATGTGTAGAGAACCTAGGTACGGGGTTAGAACTCATGGCAAATGCTCAGGCATGTTAGTGGCTTTCTTTGAACTTAACATTTTATAAAATGTAAATACCCAATACCTTTATAACAAGCACTGCCCTAAAAAAAACTAAACAGATGACAGCTAAGAGACTGAACAGTCCCTGGCTAACACCCAGCATTCTCAAATCCATAAATACAAAACACCGATATGAAAAACAGTACAGAATGGGTCACATAACCAGAGACCAAACAAAACGTTACTCGTCAATCCTAACCAGCCTGATAAGAAAGGCAAAAAAATTGTATTATGAGAACAGATTATCCAACTTACGAGGTGATATAAAAAAGACCTGGAAGACCCTATCAGAAATTCTGGGAACAAAAAAGATATCACGACATAGCGAAATAAAATTAGCAAAATCAGATGAACCCCAACTCCCACCAACAGAAACAGCAAACAGAATCAATGATTTCTTCTCCACTATAGGTCAAAACCTTGCCAATAATATCCCAAGCTCAGATACCCCACCAAATGACTACCTCACTGGCAACTACCCGAACACACTGTTCCTAGCTCCGACTAACCCATACGAAGTCTCCCTTATTATCAACACACTGAAAAACAAGGCAGGAGATTTAAATACCTTACCACCCTTTATATACAAAAAAAGCGTCACAAGTACTATCACCAATCATTGCAACACTCTTTAACAAATCCATTGAATCCTCCACCTTCCCTACAGTTCTCAAAATAGCAAGGGTCACCCCGATCCATAAAGGAGGAGACCAAACAGAGTTGAATAACTATAGGCCAATATCCAATTTACACCCTCTCAAAAATCTTCGAAAAATTAATTCATAAACGAATCTACTCCTACCTCATCTCCCATAACATTCTCAACCCCTGCCAATTTGGATTCAGGCCTAATAAAAATACTAATGATGCTATTATACACATGCTAGAACATATATACACTGCAATAGAGAAAAAAGAAGTCCCACTGGGGATCTTCATTGACTTACGTAAAGCTTTTGATACAGTTGACCATGACTTGCTCCACGTAAAATTGTCACACTATGGTATTAGAGGGCACTCCCTCAACTACCTCAAGTCTTACCTCAGCAACAGAAGCCAATATGTGTACGCAAATGGGGCAAGCTCTTCCGCACAACCAATTACAGTTGGTGTCCCACAGGGAAGTGTCCTTGGCCCTCTTCTCTTTCTCCTATACATAAATGACCTACCAGATGCTTCGCAATTACTCAAACCCACACTTTTTGCAGATGACACCACATACGTCTTCTCTCACCCGAGCCCAGTCACGCTAGCCAATACTGTAAACACCGAATTACAGAAAATATCTACCTGGATGAGGACTAACAAACTTACACTAAACATTGACAAAACCTACTTCATTCAGTTTGGTAGCAGAGCTACAGATGTACCTCTTAACATAACGATAAACGGATCACCTATCACAAAACTAACAGAGGGAAAATTCTTAGGAATCCACCTCGATAATAGACTCAAATTTCATACACATATACAACAAATTTCTAAGAAAATTTCCAAGACTGTAGGCATACTATCGAAGATACGGTACTATGTTCCACAGTCAGCCCTCCTGGCCCTCTATCACTCTCTTATTTACCCCTATCTTACCTATGGAATTTGTGCATGGGGCTCAACAACAACTAACCATCTCAGACCACTAATTACCCAACAAAAGGCTACAGTTAGAATGATAACAAATTCTCAATACAGGCAGCACACTCCACCAATATTCAAAACACTCAACCTACTCACCATACAAAACATCCATACTTATCATTGCACTTATTACATACATAGAACACTTAACTCTGATATTAACCCTCCCCTCAAACATCTCCTTGCCAACCTCAACAGAACACATGACCATAATACAAGGCACAGATCACTCTTTGATGTTCCTCGTGTCCATCTCACGCTATGCAAAAACTCAATGCACATAAAAGGCCCTAAAATCTGGAATTCATTACCTGTAAATATAAAAGAAACACTACCTGTTTATAAATTCAAGTCTCTTCTCAAAGTTCACTTACTCACTCAAAACCAAATAAATACTGAATAACTGAACCATATAAATTGTATATCCTAAATGTTACTCACAATTATATCACACAAATGTTAAACCTAACTTTGTTATTTTTTTTTTTTTTTTTTTTTTTTTTTTTTTTTTTTCAATACACTACCTAACAGAATACTCCATTCTACTGAATGAACAGCAATGCATGCAACCATAGGACCTGTCTTTGTAATACTCATTTGTATTTTATAGTTATCTGTTTACAATAATGTCTTATCACTGATTTCATCATTGCTTAGTTAATCTTAAGTTAATTTTAAGCCAGCCCGTAATGCTATGCATATAAGTGGCTTTGGCATGCTGCTCTTACCTGTATTTTTTTTGTACCTCTGTTTGTATGCTAAAATTTCTAAATAAATAAATAAATAAATAAACACACTGTAACCAGTGTAAGCCACTGGGCCAGCTGGTTACAATAAGATTCATACAACTAGGTATATTTATACACCATAGGGAGGTTAGAACGGGCCACTACTGTGACCACAAATGCAAGTTTTTACAGAAGAATCTCCCACCAGCGAAGCCGTGACGAGCTCGGACTCAGATCCCCTCAAAGCCATCATCACTCACGAAACCGTAATAACACGATTGCAACCGCTACAAAAGTTATTTTAACATATTTATTATGCACCCCATATCCATTCTGTAGGGGGAGAGTAAAAGGATTACAGAGGTACATAATGGGTCCCCTCAAGGAAGGTTCCTTGATGTTGGTGAGGGGCTCTTGATTTAGGGAATTGGATCTGTGCTCCAGTTCCCCGAATTAAGCCTGAATGCCTTCCACATCCCCCCCCCCAGGCGCTGTATAATCCTCCGGGTTTAGCGCTTCCCCCTTGATTATAATAATAATACATAATGGGTCCAGGTCCAGGGGCCGCACCACTACAAAAATCGCGTGTAAAATTGTACCTAAATCTGCTTACTTGCTTATCATTAATACTAATAATTATATCTTTATTAACTACAAGTATATGCACATGGTATACAAGCCTAGCTGACATCAGTGACATACAACTGTATAGAAAGTCGGTTGTTATGATGCTGAGCCCCTCAGGGAAGGTTCCTTGATGTTGGTGAGGGGCTCTTGATTTAGGAAATTGGATCTGTGCTCCAGTTCCCCTAATTAAGCCTGAATGCCTTCCACGTCCCTCCCAGGCGCTGTATAATCCTACGGGTTTAGCGCTTCCCCTTGATTATAATAATAATATGATGCTGAGCATTTTGGGCAAATTAGGTCAGTTTTGTCCCAGGATGCGACCCACACCAGTCCACTAACACCCAGGTACCCATTGTACACTGATGGGTGAACAGGTGTCTTATGGAAACACGTCCCTAATGTTTTCCAGCCGTACCGAAGGAAATTCGAACCCCGAGCATCAGTGTGCGAGCTGAGTGCGCTAGCATGGCTCATGTTAATTAGTAATTTATTGTTTACTAATTAGCATGGCTTATGCTAATTAGTAAACAGAACAAACAATAAACAATTTTATTTGTGTAGTATACAAAGTAGTTTACATGTAACAAAATATTGTTAAGTAAAGAGAGCCACTAGCATGCATGAGTATTTAGGGCAGTAGGTAGGTTACCATAAAGTACCACAAAATTATAACAATGAGCAGCAAACTCGCTGCATAAAAATATTAAACCTAGGGACTAATATTGGTGGACATCTGCGCCAGCCTTCGTCGGATATGGACGTCTCGCTCTCGCCTGATTATCAGTCACAAATTTTCCTCTGCTCTCTCTCTCTCTCTCTCTGGGAGCAGCGCTGTATAGCCCTTTGTGGCTTAGCGCTTCTTTTTGATTATAATAATAATCTCTCTCTGGGACACTTGTCCTCACCTACTTTGCCCGCCGGGTACATTACATGAGGGGCACTTATCATCGGCTTACTTTTAACCAACTCCATATTTCCGCTCTGCGGATAATTCTTTAACGGTTTTGGTGGGGAGCCGGTTACTGAACTTAGGTGGTAGAGTGGGCGTCCCGCTCTGCTGGTGCTTGGCAAAGGGTCCACCTGATTTAATCATGAACTTCTAGTTCCTCTTTGTATTTACAAATGAACTCTTGTTCCTTTATCTTTCATCGTCCAACTTTGGGCAACAAATCTTCCCTGTACATCGGGATGTCTGGCTAGATACGACATAAGGTGTCAGTGGACATGTGAATTGCTCATTACTCTATCATTTGTTCATGATTGTAACCATGTATAAACGTAAGTAAATTTACCTACTTACATGATTCATTACCCTTGTATCTTGTGAGTTCATTACCTTTGTACCTTGTTCATATATCAAAACTTTGGGGCCCAGTCCCTGGACCCATTGCGTACCTCTGTAATCTTTTGACTACCACCCACAGGATGGGTATGGGATGCATAATAAAGATATTGAACTAACTAAAGGTGTCAGTGGCTCCGATATGGACATCCGGTCCTTTTAAAAAAAATGCCCGCTGTTAAAAAAAAAAAAATTACAATACCGTACCTGGAACAATTATGACGACATTAAATTTTGCTTATATCTTAAAAAATAACAGCTTGCACTAGAAATAATGTGTGCCAAGATATAAATAATATGTTAGGACCCCAATGGAAATAATTCGCTTTGACTTTTTTGGGGATTATCATAGATAATTTACATTTTGTATGATAATTGTATTTATGTGTACTTGTGCCTTTATAAACTTACTTAAAAAATAATTATGGTATTATTGGTTTTATATATACATGTATGCTTTATTTTTTAATATCATTATAGATACGTGCATAGCAACGTGCTGATAATTTACCTTTACTAAATATTTTTGATTATGAAATTAACCTGAAAAAATTAATAAATCCATCAATCAATAAATGAAAATATAAACAGGCATGGAGGCGTAACTCGTGAAGTTTTAATCCGTTCTCTGTGAAAATTAAGTATTTTCTTATTTAATTTAAAGTCCGTGTGCTTATTATTGTCTAGTAAAATAAAGCAATTTTTTGTTAAAAAATGTGCAATGTTCAGCTAATACAGTGCACAGATTAGATATAGATAGATATACAACTACTTACTATAGATAGTTATAAATGTGGATGATAATAATAATAATAACAATAATCTTTATTTCTACAAGTACATGTACAAGGTATACAGGTCTAGCTGACATCAATGAAATTCCACTGTATAGAAAGCCGCTTATTATTCAGAGCATTTCAGGCAAATTAGATCAATTTTGTCCCCAGGATGCGACTCACACCAGTCGATTTACACCCACGTACCTGTTTTACTGATAGGTGAATAGGGACAGCAGGTGTTTTAAGGATATAGATATTTACTTTTTATTTTATTACACGTTTTACGTATAAATAATTACAATGTTGCATTTTAAACAAACATTATAAGTGAGCAGCGGTGAAAAATAATGAGTATTTAACTAAGGATGATCAAAAAAAGTGCCATAGGCACTTTTTTTGATCATCCTTAGTTAAAAAGTGCCATAGGCACTTTTTATAAATCCGGCAGGCCGGACTTGAGTCCTGGAGATGGGAAGTACAGTGCCTGCACTCTGAAGGAGGGGTGTTAATGTTGCAGTTTAAAAACTGTAGTGTAAAGCACCCTTCTGGCAAGACAGTGATGGAGTGAATGATGGTGAAAGTTTTTCTTTTTCGGGCCACCCTGCCTTGGTGGGAATCGGCCGGTGTGATAATAAAAAAAAAAAAAAAAAATATTCTATAAATTTATAAATCACATATTCTGTGAATTTTTATATTTACTTATTCTAAGCAAGGCCTTATTGGATTTGTGTAACCTAAAATTATATAAATGTTTCTTATTGTGTGCTTCTAGATATTAGTAAACTAAAATTGTAAACCTTAATTAAAACTGCTTTTACTTTGCTAGAATCATTGTGGGTAAAAGAGACCATGAAAAATATATCCATTTACTGTCATTTTCACAATATAACCTTTGGTAATGTACACACATTACTATGTATGATAATTGTCCTTTTGTAGATCTGTGCCTAAATAAACTTACTAACATACGAAAGGACCCCAATGGAAATAAGTCACTTTGACTTTTTTTTAGTTATTCTAAGTTCTCTCCACATATACTATATATAATAATCTATATAACTGTATTTGTGTATACCTGAATAAACTTCCTGTTAGGAAGTGATCTGGGGAAGTTTGATATATAAGCGACCTTTTCTGTTTGACAGCTGACTGCCACCAAACAGGAGGTGGCAAGAACATTAAGACGTTAATAATAATAACCACAAACAGCTACAGTGACAACAGATATAACTGAAACCACATAACTATAGTCATAACTCGTGTAGTCATCGGGACAAGAAAGAACTCGAAGCAAACTCCGCGTATCCTGCAGGAGAGGATGAAGTAAAAAAAAAAATGGCTTATACAATGGAATAAACTGCAATGTTACCATTGAAATTCATGTGAATGTTATACTAACGGAGATCAATATCTTCTTGTATTTCGGAAGTGACGTCGCCCAGGAAAGAAAGACAGACGAGATATGACTCTAAAGGCCTTTGATTTGGTGTCCGTTCTGGATAGAGTGGATCTGAAGGTTAGTATTTCGGTAATTGAATCCCCTCAAGGAAGGTTCCTTGATATTGGTGAGGGGCTTTTGATCTAGGGAATTGGATCTGAGTTCCAGTTCCCTGAATTTAGCCTGGATACTTTACACATCCCCCCCACAGGCGCTGCATAATCCTACGGGTTTAGCGCTCCCTCTTAATAATAAATAATAATAATAATGGTAATTGAATGAGCGTCCAAAGGGTATTTTGGTGATAATATATAGCATAAGTTGCCCAATATTAAATGAGTTTTAAAAGGGTGAAATTTTTATATTGTGCATTAGGAAAAATGAAAAATGTAATGTAACCCAACATACCCTAACATACACCATTATAAGCATAAATGGACCTGAAATGATTTTACTTATCGTTAACTATGATTAATCAGGCGTGTTAACTACTTGCAAAGATTCCTGCTGCCCTTCACCAGCAGAGAGCCCCGACTGAATAAAATCTGAATGCCTCCCTTATCCCCATGTTCTGTACGACTCCGGCAGATAATAATAATAATATTTCTTTAACATAATATATATATGTTCTTCAGTTTTTGTATTCTTTACCAGCAGGGGTCATGCAGTGTCTGGGGAATTTGAGATAATTGCATTTTATCATGGGAAAAGGAATCAGCATTATTATTATTTTTATAATCAAAATTAAAAGGAAGTGCTAAACCTACTAGGTCATGAATCAGAGTCCTTCACTGGTATCAAAGTATCATATACATACATCATATAACATCCACTTTGTATACATTTTTTTTTTACCCAGAATTATTACAGGGTCACCTGGTTCCTCATCATCAGCAACTCGCTGTAAAATATTCACACTGTTAATAATAATAATATTTATTTTTTTTTTTTATTATCACACTGGCCGATTCCCACCAAGGCAGGGTGGCCCGAAAAAGAAAAACTTTCACCATCATTCACTCCATCACTGTCTTGCCAGAAGGGTGCTTTACACTACAGTTTTTAAACTGCAACATTAACACCCCTCCTTCATAATAATAATAATAATATAATAATACGTATCTTTATTTACTACAAGTACACGTACAAGATATACTGGCCTAGCTGACATTAATGACATACTACTACTATATAGAAAGCTGCTTGTTATGCTGAGCATTTCAGGCAAATTAGGTCAATTATGTCCCAGGATGCGACCCACACCAGTCGACTAGCACCCAGGTACCCATTTTACTGATGGGTGAACATAGACAACTAGTGTAAGGAAACACATCCAATGTTTCCACCCCTTCGCTGGGAATCGAACCAGGATCCTCACCGTGTGCAGCGAGAGCTTTGGCCACCAGACCACGGGGCTCTAATTTATCCTTTGCACCACTGCAACGTTTAGTATGACTCAGTTCCAATAGTACTCATAAAGCATTTGCCATTCCTGGATAAAATGCAGGTCATATAAGCAAAGATGAAGTTATTAAAATGCCAGTATGCAAGCAAATCTGAAAGTAAGTACAAGTTCAGGCTCACCTTGTACTAAGGGATTTTGAGCTAAAAGCTCTATATATAAATAATTTTACTGTTGCTCTATCACTTAATTCTTTCAGATTGAGTGCTTTGAAGCTAGTGGAAATGACCTGTACCTGGGATCAGATGACAGGTATGATTCAAACATTTATTAAATATAGTAAGTGCTATTTAACCTCATGTATGTATATTTTGAATGTAGTATAGACATTTATGCATACTTCATGCCTTATTGCTAAAACATGGAAACTTTTATCAGGCAATAACTTTTTCTGACCAGGTTGAGCATATACAGCATTATTTTTCGTAACAGTTTTGTGAAAATAAGTCAGAACATCCCAAAATTATATACATTATATTTCATTAACATTTAAATTAAATTTAGGCTGACTTTAAATACGTAAGGTAAAATCATTTGCTAATTCTGACTAGGAAAGAGTCACTGTATTTTTAATAAAATTAATGTGTTTACACTGTAGCTTGTGCAGGGTATACTGGTACTGTGGTACCTTGACTTAAGAGCTTAATTCGTTTCGTGACCAAGCTCATAACTCGATTTGCTCATATATCAGATCAATTTTCCTCATTGAAATTAATTAAAATGCCATTAATTCGTTCCGGTGAAATTCAGTCTCTCAGGAGGCAGGAGAAAATACTTCAATATCATGCTAACATCAACTCTACAGCTTATTTATCTATCACAATTGAGCTAATATGACATAATAAACAATATAAATAACATAGAAACATGATATATGCTCTAGAATGAATAAAATGTCATTACGTGACAAGTGGTAGCGGCTACTCCGCTACCACTTATCACCACAAAAGCAATTAGTATCTCTTGTTTTTCTATGATTTCATGATTTTATTCAGTGGACATCATCCTCTTCTTCTCAGCACTGTCCTTTGCACTTACTTTCTTAGAAAAAAAGAAATTTGGCAAAATAAATGCACAAAACGCTGGGATGCTGGGCGGATGTTGTCATGTTCACTGTGCCAGCTAGTGGCGGTGTGTCTGAAGCTTGCTCATAACTCAGATTTTGGCTCACAACTCAAAGCAAAAAATTGACCGAGCAACGGCTCGTAACTCGGAAAACTCGTAAGTTGGGGCACTCGTAAGGCAAGATACCACTGTATACACTACAAGACAGACTGGGAGATGCCCTATCATAATTAATGAAACCACATCTTATTTAAATTAAGACTTAGATTCTATGCCCTGGAGAGTCAGAGTAAGCATGTATCTGGTGAATTTTACAGGAAAGAATAATATACATGTAGTATATACAAGGTTACCTGTTACTTATCAAAGAAAATTCCATACAAACTGAAGCCAATGAGCACTAACATCATCTACTGTCTTTTTTTTCATCAATATTTTTCCACGAGTGTCATTTGTAAGTGGTGCTTCATCATTGATTATTTGACTTATGTTAATATTATTGAGGAAATGATTGTATAGTAGTAATCTTGTAACATTAGCATTTTTTTTTTTTATGAAACTACTAGAGACTTAGGTCAGTACTGATGCTATGAGTGAATTTTTAGTTATAAAGTTAAGGTATCTTCAAATTTCTGTATTTTCAGTGACCATGTTCTGTACTGTAAATAACTTACTTTTGTATTTTCCCTCTTCTTGGACATATTTTCTTAGTTTTCTTTGCATGTACCTTTTTGTTCACAAATCTTACATGCATAGTAATAATCATTAATAATAATAAATAATAATCTTCATTTCTACAAGTACATGTACAAGGTATACAGGCCTAGCTGATATCAATGACATACTGCTATATAGAAAGTTCCTTGTTATGCAGAGTATTTCTAACAAATTAGGTTTGTTCTGCCCCCAGGATGTGACCCACACCAGTCAACTAACACTCCTGTACCTATTTTGCTGATGGGTGAACGTGGACAGCATGTGTCTTAAGGAAACACGTCCTAATGTTCCCACCCGTACTGGGGATCGACCCCCAGTGAGCTGAATGCACTAGCAATCAAGCTATGGGACACCGTACATACATTTGTAATTGATAAACTCATCCAGTGTGATAGTCAGTTGATGCATTTATATTATTTTGCTTATACTGTATTGTATTGCATTATAATTCAAACTTTCTTCCAGTATTGTTGTTCATTATGTCGTAGAAGAGAGGATTCATGATGCGACTTCCAAGATATTTTATTCTACTAACAAGATTAGTCAGAAGAACCTTGGAACTGTAAGTACAGTACTAGACTTACACAGTATATTGATAATGTTGTGTTGCAAAAGCTTGAGAATTAGTTCTATAAAATGTTAGTTTTTCAGACCTAATAAGATAGAGTACAGTAATCTACTTTACACGTTAAAATAGGTGTCAAGAATCTGCAGCAAACATGAGAAAATCTTCAAAAGAACAATCATCAAAACCATAATAAGGTCTATGTAAAATTGTCTGAAACTAACTACAGGCAGGTTTAGATTTTTCTCCTTTCATTTGGGCATTTGTTGTATTTGCATTGATGCTCTTCCTTCACAGGATATACATAGAGGATGTGATCAATAAATTACTTCTGCAAAGGAAGAGAATTGGAAATGGGGAGGGAAAGAATGAGATACAAATATAGTACAGTACTATTTCTTTGAATGAAAAATTAAAATCATTATTGGGTACAGTAAGACGTGTAATTTTGTGGCAGTATGGGCAGTATAATGTATGTGGAGAGATCTATGGAAATTTTTTCAAGGAATTTACTGGGAACAGATTGTATGACCTTTGTGAGTTTAGCACTTAGTATTTATTATAATGATAATGGGCACAGAGATCCACTTAGCTTAAATTAAAAGTCGGTGGAACAAAAGTTGGAAGTTGGGATATTTATTAATAAAACAAGTACAGTTCATTGTACAATAGAACAGTAATTCCAAATTACTAAAAATTTTGGTATGCAGTTAATTTTTATAAATCACATTTTATTGTGAAATAAATTCATAATATAATTAGTTAATATATATATATATATATTTTTTTTTTTTTTTCAGAAAAAGACAGTAGTTCAGCTAAAGACAGCCTCTGCTCTCGGTCGGTTGATGGTGTTAAGTGATGGGAATCTGTACATCCTTGATTCTGATGTCCTCAATACCATTGGCTCAGGCCCAAAAATCAAGAACGTTACTGTGTTCTGTGTCAATGAAAATCCCAACACATTGGACCCCTTTACAGTTCAGGTAGGTCTGATATCATTATCTTATACATGCAGAACATAAGAGTTGTCTCCAAATGTATTCAAAACCTTGATGGTGTGTGTGTGTACTCACCTAGTTGTGGTTGTAGGGGTCAAGTCAGCTCCTGGCCCCACCTCTTTACTGGTTGCTACTAAGTCACTCTTCCTGTTCCATGAGCTTTATCATACCTCTTCTTAAAGCTATGTATGGATCCTGCCTCCAGTACATCACTTCTGAGACTATTCCACTTCCTGACAACTCTGTGACTGAGTCTTCAACTTTCAACCGTGATCCCATGTTGCTGTGTCCCATCTCTGGAACATCCTGTCTCTGTCCACCTTGTCGATTCCTCTCAGTATTTTATATGTCATTATCATATCCCCCCTATCTCTCCTGTCTTCCAGTGTTGTCAGGTCGATTTCCCTCAACCTCTCCTTGTAAGACATACCCTTTAGCTCCGGGACTAGTCTTGTTGCAAACCTTTGCACTTTCTCTAGTTTCCTTGCATGCTTGGCTAGGTGTGGGTTCCAAATTGGTGCTGTATACTCCACAGCGTACAGGGTCCTGAACAATTCCTTATTAAGATGCCGGAATGCTGTTCTTAGGTTTGCTAGACGCCTGTATGCTGCAGCAGTTATTTGGTTGATGTGCGCCTCAGGAGATGTGCCTGGTATTATACTCACCCCAAGATCCTTTTCCTTGAGTGAGGTTTGTAGTCTCTGGCCCCCTAGACTGTACTCCGTCTGCAGTCTTCTTTGCCCTTCCCCAATCTTCATGACTTTGCACTTGGTGGGGTTGAACTCCAGGAGCCAGTGTGTGTGTGTATGTAAGTGCGTGTGTGTGTGTGTGTGTGTGTGAAAGAGAGAGAGACTAAAAGTTAATTTGGGAAGAAAATACACGTATGAATAGTTTCTTTTTAATATTGTGCATACAGTAATCCTAACCCAGAGACATGACCTGCACCTGTGAAGAATACTGTACCTGTTTCAACAATAGTTAAATGTTGTATGTGGCAAAAAGCACAATTTTTTTTTCTTTTCAACAAACCGGCCATATCTCACCAAGGCAGGGTGGCCCAAAAAGAAAAACGAAAGTTTCTCTTTTTAAATTTAGTAATTTATATAGGAGAAGGGGTTACTAGGCCCTTGCTCCCGGCATTTTAGTCGCCTCTTACAACATGCATGGCTTATGGAGGAAGAATTCTGTTCCACTTCCCCATGGAGATAAAAGGAAATAAACAAGAACAAGAACTAGAAAGAAAATAGAGGAAAACCCAGAGGGGTGTGTATATATATGCTTGTTGAAGAATTGAGACACTTGTGCAACACATGGGAATCTTTATTGAAGAAATATTTTGCCACACAGTGGCTTCATCAGTCCAATACAAAGTAGAAATGGGTAAGGAGAGTAGAAGTTTGAGGTAATCAGTCCCTCAACCTGGAATCGATGTGTTCAGTCCATCAATCTTGTAGGAAGTGCAGCACAGGGCCAGAGAGGTGGCTTATATACTGCGGTGAGACGAGTTGAAGCAGGAGGAGGCGGGATCACAGTGGGACCTGCCACTAGTGTAAGTTGAAGAATTGAGACACTTATGCATAAGTGTCTCAATTCTTCAACTTCTCGGTTTTCAAAACCATTCATCACATCTGTCAGACACTGCAACATCATGGGATCTTGGTACAAAGACTTCAACGCTTGCCAAACCTTTGGATGACGACCTACTTACACTAGTGGCAGGTCCCACTGTGATCCCGCCTCCTCCTGCTTCAACTCATCTCACCGCAGTATATAAGCCACCTCTCTGGCCCTGTGCTGCACTTCCTACAAGAGTGATGGACTGAACACATCGATTCCAGGTTGAGGGACTGATTACCTCAAACTTCTACTCTCCTTACCCATTTCTACTTTGTATTGGACTGATGAAGCCACTGTGTGGCGAAATGTTTCTTCAATAAAGATTCCCATGTGTTGCATAAGTGTCTCAATTCTTCAAATTGTCGGTTTTCAAAACCATTCATCACATATATATGCTTGTACATGTATGTGTAGTGTGACCTAAGTGTAAGTAGAAGTAGCAAGATGTACCTGAAATCTTGCATGTTGAAGAGACAGAAAAAAGACACCAGCAATCCTACCATCATGTAAAACAATTACAGGCTTTCATTTCATACTCACTTGGCAGGACAGTAGTACCCCCCTGGGTGGTTGTTGTCTACCAACCTACTACCTATAAAAAAGCACAATATATACATTATAATATTACAGTATAATAATGTATAAGCTTATCAAGATGTTCATAGGGAAGAGCTAAAACCAACACTGTCAAATTAAAAAACTTTGGGATGTTTTGCCTGGGGGGGAGGGGTTAAAGAGACTTTTCCCTCAAGAGGCTCCTGAATGCTGGTGAAGGGCCCTTCTCTTGGATCAAGCCTTATGCCTCCCATTTCCCAAGACACTGTATAAACCCTACAGGTTTAGTGCTTTTCCCTATAAGTAATAATTATGGTGAAAGTGTTTATTTTCCAGGTCAGCCTACATTGGTAGTACAGTATATGACTAATTTGTTAAAAAATATAATGTAAAGAAGAAGACTTCTTTTATGCTTTACCTTACCTAGGATTTTAACCTGGGATTTTTTCATTATTCAACGACTTTGTGAAGACTCCTCTGACTTTTATAATATGAATGAGACACTGTTGCTTTAATATTACTGTAATTTAACAGCCTTTTGGGAGCAATGTTTAACTACTATTCTATGAACCTCTTCATTTTCCCAGGTTGTTCAGTTTGTGCTTGTGGATTGCTACTTTAAGCTCATACTATTGTTATTTATTAGTGTCCATTAGTTAATCAATAACATTGATTTTGTGCTCCTTTAATCATTTAATTGTAGACTTGAATGTGCTTCAGATTATTATTGTGCCAAAACTTTTATTTACACGACATTAGAAGCATCAGCAAAGTGATGCTAGATGATCTTTTGTAATTGCAGCATTGGTATTAATGATTTTTTCATTAATTTATATTTGCAGTAGCCAATATGTAATACAGATAAATATATTGACAACAGCTATGTGTGGGCAAGAGAAGGTGTATACAAATCTGTTCCTTACATGAAGATCGCGTTTCATTCCTGAAAGAATTATCAACACCAGAACCTGTTAATATTGCAATGGATGGAACTTTTGTGTGCGTTGCTGGACAAGGGCATTATTGTGTCTTTAATGTTGAAACAGGATTGAGTCAAGACCTCTTCCCATATGACACTGCTGTAACCTACCCACATGTCAAGAGAATAGCTAAGGTATGGGCATTACTTTTTTTCACCTTTCACCATCCAAGCAGATTACTGTCTCGTGAATTTTAATTACTTAATGCTTAAAGAAACTTAAAAATGATAGTTATGCATGAAGAAATAATACCACACAACTTTCTCTCTCACAGGAGGAATTCTTATTAGCAGGACCAGGTAACCTTGGGATGTTTGTAACAGCAGCAGGCATCTCAGAACGGCCACCAATCCAGTGGATGGAGGGCATATCTGCAGTGTCCTATTACTATCCGTACATAATAACCATAACTAATCAGTTTATTAGAGTGTATAGGTGAGTCATTATCTTGCTGTGAGTATTCCTGAAATAACCATTATTATGATGCATTTGATAAACTGGAATCATTTTACTGCATACAGTGTAATTGAAATATGTAGTCAGAATTTTTTACAATAAATTTCGTGTAGGAACGAATACTGTGCAGAAATTTTCAAGACCACATTGAATTTGTTTTATATTTAAAGTTCCATATTGATTTAAGAAACTAGTTGTATTAGTTTTTAGTACCAGGCTATATTATTAATGTAACTGTATTGTAAAGTCAAATGTAATTAGTTATTGCAATTTTAGTTAATACTTTTGTATATAGGAGGGTGGGTGTAGGAGGGAGAAGGAGTGATTAGTGGAATGAGGTAAAGGGAGTGATAAGGGAGAAAGTTAACATAAGAGAGGTTTTTGCAAAGCAGAATTGATATAGGGAGGGTTGAGTATATGGAAAGTAGAAGAGGTGAAGAGTGGTGATGGAGAGTAAATAAGGGAATGAGTGAGGCACTGTCACCAAATTCTGCTGAGAATAAGATAAAGTTTTGGAGTGAGATTAATAGGTTGAGAAATCCTAAGGAATGAGTGGATTTAACAGTTAAAAAGATGAGAGGGGAGTTGGAGATTATTATTGTAATCACATTAAATGCTAAACCTGTAAGGATCAATGGGAGTTGAGGATATATTGGGAAGATGGCAGGAATATTTTAAGGAGCTGTTAAATGTTGATGATGAAAAGGAGGCAGTGATTTTCTGCATTGGCCAGGAAAGTATAACATCCTCTAAAAGTGAGGAAAAGCCAGATGTGAGAGTGGTGGAGGTGTGTGAGGCTGTGGGTAAAATGAAGGGGGGTAAAGCAGGTTGGATTGATGGGATCATGACAGAAATGTTAAAAGCTGGTGAGGATATAGTTTTGGAGTGGTTGATACTTTTGTTCAATAATGTATGAAAGGGGGAAAGGTACCTAGGGAAAGAGGGACAAGAGTGTAAAAAATTATAGGGAAAAAAGCCTGTTGAGTATACCAAGTAAAGTGTGTGGTAGTTATTATTGAAAGAATTAAGGGTAAAACGGAGAGCAGGATCACAAATGAACAAGGAGGCTTTAGAAAGGATAGGGGATGCATAGACCAAGTTTTTGCATTGAAGCATATAAGTGAACAAAATTTGGATAAAGGTAAGGAAGTTTTCGCTGCTTTCATGGATTTAGAAAAAGCACATGATAGGGTGGATAGGGTAGCAATGTGGCAAGTGTTACAAGGGTATGGAATAGGTAGTAGGTTACTGAATGCTGTTTTATGAGTTTTTATGAGGATAGTGAGGCTTAGGTTAGGGTATGTAGGAGAAAGGGAGATTATTTTCCAGTAAATGTAGGCCTTAGACAGGGATGTGTGATGTCACCATGGTTTAAGATATTTATAGATGGAATTGTAAAAGAAATGAATGTTAGGTTGTTATCACAGTTGTTTTTGGGAGATTCTGAAGAGAAGTTGCAAAGATTGGTGGATGAATTTGGGAGGGTATATAAGGGAAGGAAATTAAAAGTGAACATAGGAAAGAGCAAGACAATGAGGCTAACAAACAAGTTAGGTAATGAAAGATTGGATATCAGATTGGAAGGGGTATGGAGGAAGTGACTATGTTCAAATATTTGGGAGTGGATTTGTTTGCAGGTAGGTATATGAAAGACAAGATGAACCATAGAACTGATGACGGGAAAAAGTTGTGTGGTGCATTGAGGCATCTGTGGAGACAAATAACATTATCCATGGAGGAAAAGAGGGAAATGTATGAGAGTATTATGACACCAAAACTTACATGAGTGTGAGGCATGGGTTGTGAATGTTGTAGCAAGGGGACTGGGGGCAATGGAGATATTGTGTCTGAGGGCAGTGTGTGGTATAAATAATGTGTGTAAAATTCATAGTTTGGAGATTGGGAGGTGCAGAGTTACTCAAAATATTATCCAGAGGGCTGAGGAGGGGGTTGAGGTGGTTTGGACATTTAAAGAGGATGGAGAAAAATAGGGTAAATTGGAGGGTGTATAAATCTGTAGTGGAGGGAAGGCAGGGTAGGAAAGGTTGGAGGGAGGAGGTAAAGGAAGCTTTGTGTGCTAGGGACTTGAATATCCAGCAGGTATGTGCGTTAGATAGAAGTGAGTAGAGGCAAATATTTTTTGGGACCTGACGAGCTGTTGGAGTGTGAGCAAGGTAACATTTCATGAAGGGAGTCAGGGAAACTGGTTAACCAGACTTGAGTCCTGGAGGTGATGAGTATAGTGCCTGCACTCTGAAGGAAGGGTGGGGATATTTGCAGTTTGGAGGAGAATCTGAACTGTAGTATTGGCATGCCTCTGGCAAGACAATGATGGAGTGAATGATGGTGAAAGTGCTTCTTTTTTGGGTCACCCTGCCTAGGTGTTAAAAAAAAAAACTTTCTGTATATCTGACTTCAGCAATGGAATACACAAATATACTCATACATAGGAGACTGAAACTTTGTAATAATATTTTAGTCCGACTTGGACCCTTGACCAATCTTGACTCGAGTGTGATATCACAAATCATAATCATATAGAATTCTCGTTAGATGTGTAACATTTACCATTTTGTTATTGGCTCTGGAGTATAGTGATATACAGTAATAACTATTGCACTTCGGTACAATAGTTATTACTGTATATAGTAGTTATTTTATTATCACACCGGCCGATTCCCACCAAGGCAGGGTGGCCCGAAAAAGAAAAACTTTCACCATCATTCACTCCATCACTGTCTTGCCAGAAGGGTGCTTTACACTACAGTTTTTAAACTGCAACATTAACACCCCTCCTTCAGAGTGCAGGCACTGTACTTCCCATCTCCAGGACTCAAGTCCGGCCTGCCGGTTTCCCTGAATCCCTTCATAAATGTTACTTGCTCACACTCCAACAGCACGTCAAGTATTAAAAACCATTTGTCTCCATTCACTCCTATCAAACACGCTCAAGCATGCCTGCTGGAAGTCCAAGCCCCTCGCACACAAAACCTCCTTTAACCCCCTCCCTCCAACCCTTCCTAGGCCGACCCCTACCCCGCCTTCCTTCCACTACAGACTGATACACTCTTGAAGTCATTCTGTTTCGCTCCATTCTCTCTACATGTCCGAACCACCTCAACAACCCTTCCTCAGCCCTCTGGACAACAGTTTTGGTAATCCCGCACCTCCTCCTAACTTCCAAACTACGAATTCTCTGCATTATATTCACACCACACATTGCCCTCAGACATGACATCTCCACTGCCTCCAGCCTTCTCCTCGCTGCAACATTCATCACCCACGCTTCACACCCATATAAGAGCGTTGGTAAAAAATATACTCTCATACATTCCCCTCTTTGCCTCCAAGGACAAAGTTCTTTGTCTCCACAGACTCCTAAGTGCAAACCCCTCACTCTTTTTCCCCCATCAATTCTATGATTCACCTCATCTTTCATAGACCCATCCGCTGACACGTCCACTCCCAAATATCTGAATACGTTCACCTCCTCCATACTCTCTCCCCCCCAATCTGATATTCAATCTTTCATCACCTAATCTTTTTGTTATCCTCATAACCTTACTCTTTCCTGTATTCACCTTTAATTTTCTTCTTTTGCACACCCTACCAAATTCATCCACCAATCTCTGCAACTTCTCTTCAGAATCTCCCAAGAGCACAGTGTCATCAGCAAAGAGCAGCTGTGACAACTCCCACTTTGTGTGTGATTCTTTATCTTTTAACTCCACGCCTCTTGCCAAGACCCTCGCATTTACTTCTCTTACAACCCCATCTATAAATATATTAAACAACCACGGTGACATCACACATCCTTGTCTAAGGCCTACTTTACTGGAAAAAATTTCCCTCTTTCCTACATACTCTAACTTGAGCCTCACTATCCTCGTAAAAACTCTTCACTGCTTTCAGTAACTTACCTCCTACACCATACACTTGCAACATCTGCCACATTGCCCCCCTATCCACCCTGTCAACGCCTTTTCCAAATCCATAAATGCCACAAAGACCTCTTTAGCCTTATCTAAATACTGTTCACTTATATGTTTCACTGTAAACACCTGGTCCACACACCCCCTACCTTTCCTAAAGCCTCCTTGTTCATCTGCTATCCTATTCTCCGTCTTACTCTTAATTCTTTCAATTATAACTCTACCATACACTTTACCAGGTACACTCAACAGACTTATCCCCCTATAATTTTTGCACTCTCTTTTATCCCCTTTGCCTTTATACAAAGGAACTATGCATGCTCTCTGCCAATCCCTAGGTACCTTACCCTCTTCCATACATTTATTAAATAATTGCACCAACCACTCCAAAACTATATCCCCACCTGCTTTTAACATTTCTATCTTTATCCCATCAATCCCGGCTGCCTTACCCCCTTTCATTTTACCTACTGCCTCACGAACTTCCCCCACACTCACAACTGGCTCTTCCTCACTCCTACAAGATGATAGTAGTATGTACACAAAATGATTATAAATTCTTGTTGATTATTGTACAGTATTTTTTAATATCTTACAGCTTGATTGATCAACAACACAAACAGACACTAAATTTTTCTGGTGGTGAACTAATTGGAAATTTTGATGGTCAGCTTTATGTGGCAGCCAACTCATGTGTATCCTGCCTTATGCCTCAGCCATGGACTGTCCAAGTTCAGGTTTGTCAAGTTTTTTACATCCTTTTTGAGTTCAGTTCTTTACACTTATGCTGCCTAATCATTAAAAAAATGATGAGACTATTAGGTGAGTGAGTGCTCTAATACTTATCATACCAGTTAGCAATTTTGTTCATCTTATATTAGAAATTTACCTTGTGGATAATTTGTTCCTATGTGTAGATATCTTTCAAGAGGCCATGACATTCAGTAATCTTGTCATATAAACATGTAATGCTTAGTGAACCTTATTTTAGACCAGGTTTAGCTAAGGATGGAGGTTTGTCAGACTTGATAAAGCTCATCCCCGAGCAAAATTTTATCTAAAATAAAGCTTGCTCTGTGTTAAACATTTTCATACCCATTTGTTGGCTTGTCCCGTTCACCAGTACTTTAATAGTTTTGTGTAACTATTCACAAGCTGAGAATGCTTTGGGAAAAAGGAGGTTTTGAGTGCTGGGGACTTTGAGCATCCAGCAGTTTGACTTATGAAATCATAATAACATGATTTCAAACAAATTACAGAATGGATGGGGATTGAACCCATGGCAGTTTGTGTGAGCATGATAGGTAAGTGAATGGGGACAAGTTTTTTATGACATTGTGCTGTTCAAATGTGAGCAAAAAACATGAAAGGACTTGAGAAACCAATTAGCCAAAACTGGTGTCCTGGAGGTGGAGAAGTTCAGTGCTTGCACTGTTTGGGGCAGGGATGTTGCGGGTTGAAGGGTCATTAGTCATTTCAGTGCTGTGACACTATATTTAAGGAACTGATAAATTAAAAATATGAAATTAAAAATATTGGAGGTACAGTAGAATCCCTATATCCACTGATTCGGTATCCGCAGTTTCAGTTATCCACGGTTTACTCTGGCCCAAAATACCTCTTAATTTTGAATAGTAATGGCCCCAAAGTGCAAAAGTAGAGAAGCTGGTAGTTCTTCAAAGCCTAAAAGAAGCTGTGAAGTGCTTCCCATCAGTGAAAAAGTGATAATTCTCCACTTATTGTGAATAATTTATCAATTAAACTTTATAATAGGTATGTATAGGACTTAAGAATAGGGTTTGCTAGTATCTGGGGTTTTGGTATCTATAGAAGGTCCTTTAAACATATCCCCCACTGTTACAAGGGTCATACTGTATATGCAACAAAGATGATGTAAGGAGAGTAGGGAATATAGGAGGCAGAGTTAAAGGGTACATGCATATGATATTTTGGTGGAACATAAATTATATAAAAATTATGTAATATGTAAAGAAGATAATACACAGTATATTGAGGAAGTAAAAAATATGTAAATATTCCTGTGCTGCTGCTGAGATGTATTTTCTAAGATTCCTAGAAAAGATACTGCCTATGTTAGGTGTGGATAGATTGATTTGATAGAAATTATTTTTATATTCATGTATTACGAGCTGTTTCCCTTCTTTTCCAGACTTTAATGGATAATGAAAGAGTGGAAGAAGCCGTTGAGTTGGCAGAACACAGTGGAGCAGTTGGAATGAGTCAGGAACAGTATCAACAGTTGTTCCATACACTGCTCCAGAAGGCAGGCTTTATCAAATTGTCCCATGGAGTCTATGATCAAGCACAAGACTATTTCCTCAGGGGCTCTGTGGATGTTAGAGAGGTAGGGTTTGTAAATGTCTTAATCTGTGGTGGCTGTCATTTTGTTTTGAGGTAGATACTTCTATTGAATAATAACCATAATTTTTTTTTCCAGATAACAGCTGTTTACCATAAATAATCTCTACTCTCTTGATCTTATTAGTACATTTGCAGTACTCGAGTGATTAATGATTACTTTATTTTTATTATAAAAAAGATTTCAAACATCAACTCTTAACTTGTCAAAGGCAAAAATAATGACAAGTTTGTGTGCATATGTACTCATATGATAAAGCTTTTGAAGCCAGGAGATTATTATTATAATCAAAACTAAGTGCTAAACCCACCAAAGTGACAGAGCCAGGAGAGAGTGGACCTAGTAGTGACCAGCAAAGAGGTGGACACACACTATACATGCATATACACACACACTCTCCACCCCCACACCTACCTCTTTACCTTCTTTACCCTTATTATTAAAATAAAAAAGACGCGCTAAACCCACTAGGGTCTCTTTACTCTTAAAGCTGTTTTGCACTTTTTTCTTTTCATTGTTGCATATATGGATTAGTGTGCCAGTGCTTATGAATTTCTTTAAAGAACAGGCAGTTGAGAATAAATCCAAATTATTATTATTATTATTATTATTATTATTATAAATGGTTCTGTAACCTTTGCTTTGACCTTTAGGTGATCAGCCTGTATCCTGGTCTTTTACCAGCAACTGTGGAATTCATGCGAGCTCAGCCTCCCCTCCATCATCTTGCTGATATAACTCAAGCAATGCATGGTGACCAGAACAAGATAGAAGATGCTAAAAGATTCCTTTCTGGGTACCTATTACATCTACGAAGTTTAGGAGAGCCTATCATGTGTAGATTGGTAAGATATAGTTTCATGATAATTATGGAATCGTAAAATATACTTATTAATGTACAATATTTTAAATACTCTTTTCTTCAGTAAAAGTCTTGCATAAGGGACTAGCTTCTCTTACAACAGTAATAAATTTCGTTTAGTCCTGGAGGTGGGAAGTACAGTGCCTGCATTCGGAAGGATAGGTAAGGATATTTGCAGTGTGGGGGAGCATCTAAACTATAATACCTGCATGTCTCTAGCAAAACAGTGATAGTGAATGATGGTGAAAGTGTTCCTTCTTTTTCAGGCCACTCTGCCTTGGTGGGAGATGGCCTTTGTGTGAAAAAAAGCACATAATTTTAAATACTGCACTTTTTTTTTTTAACATGTCGGCCATTTCCCACCAAGGCAGGGTGACCCAAAAAGAAAGAAAAAAGCTTTCGTCATCATTCAACACTTTCACTATTACTCATGCATAATCAGTGCCTTTGCAGACGCACTCAGATACGACAGTTTAGACGTCCCTCCAAACTGCCAATATCCTAAACCCCTCCTTTAAAGTGCAGGCATTGTATTTCCCATTTCCAGGACTCAAGTCCAGTTAACTGGTTTCCCTGAATCCCTTCACAGAATATTACCCTGCTCACATTCCAATAGCTCGTCAGGTCCCAAAAACCATTTGTCTCCATTCACTCCTATTTGACACGCTCACACGCTTGCTGAATCCAAGCCCCTCGCCCACAAAACCTCCTTTACCCCCTCCCTCCAACCTTTTCGGGGACGACCCATACCCTGCCTTCCTTCCCCAATAGGTTTACATGTTCTCCAAGTCATTCTACTTTCTTCCATTCTCTCTAAATGACTAAACCACCTCAACAGCCAGAGGTGAAGTACTACTGTAACATATAATCTTTTGGCTTGTGACTTGATTTTTGTATTTGCTGATTTGACTTAACACACACTTGAAACATTAAGAAGGATAAGAAAGACGTTAATTTTTTTATACTTTTAATATTCCACTATTATTACAGTACTGTACAATATCTGTATAATATCTTGTAACAATATAAAACATTAGCAGTGAAGGATGAACTGTTTGTTGAAAATAAAGAAATAACACATGCATGAAGTTGAGTACAAATCTGATATTTCAGGAGATAGACACTGCCATCATCAAGTTATATGCAGAGAGAAAATCTTCAGATCTGCTACTTTTTCTTGAGAGTGGAGATATTGTCTGCAATCTGCCTGAGTGTGCACAGTGGTTAGAAACTCATCAGCAGTACTCTGCCCTGGCAAAACTTTACAGGTAATGTTAAATTTTAAATAATGAATTTAATGCATATGAAATAGTTTATTTTTAATGTAGGCACATAGAAATATTTTATTAATGTGAGGCTCTCGCATCACATACAGTCCCTGGGGAATGGGAGGCAATAAGGTATGATCAGAGAAAGGAGAGGGATAGCTCCAATACCTTGGATTAAGATCCCATTTCCATAAGGCACTTTAAAGGGGTGCCATATTTAATTTAATTAAAAATAAAGGGTACAGCAGACATAAAAGGTTATTGTATTATATTTGGGTGCTTCTAACACTTATCCTATATTCATTGATATGTTTGTCTTTTGCAGAGTTCTTGGTGACCTTGACAAATCTCTTAAAGTTCTCACACGACTTGTGAGAGATGAAATTAAGGACGAACATTTTAAGGGAATACAAGATTTGGTGGACTGTTTAATATGGTAATGACAGTTTAATATGTAAAGTATATGTTTAAAAAAAATTGAGTGGTTACCATACTGAATATGTCTTATCCCACATATTTGCAGTTCAAAATGCTCATCTGTTCACTACTATGAGGATAACATTTCAGGGAGTTCTATAATGCATCACACAGCATTTTCATAGTAGCTTATAACCCCCAGTTGTACCAACATGCCTAGTTTATTTCTTTTAAGCCTGCTGAAAGACTTTTGCTTCTGGACTTGCCTTCTTCACCATTAATTGTTGAGATGCCTTAAAATCTCTTATGGCCTTTATTGTATTTACATTTCATTTTATATTAAGTTTAGTACCCTCACTAAAGAAATTCTTGCATACTCTCCCTGCCTGTATCCTGACTCCAGTAATATTTTAAATTCATGTATATGATTATAGTCACAACCTAGGTGTGATGCATCTTTCTATTACTCAATGACACTACCTTTGGATTCATTCCTAGGGACACAATTCATTAAATTAATTGGTTTAATTTTAATTATACATTGTATAATTTACAAATACAATATTGTCTATCCATATATTTAATTTTAGTGCAATGTTTTCACAGTGCAGCCGACCCAAATGTTGTATGGCGTTACTCAGACTTTGTGTTAGATCGAAACCCAATGGAAGGAGTACGGGTGTTTACAGACACTAAGGCAACATTGAACCCCTCCCGTGTTCTACAGATCCTCCAGCGCTATCCAGAGGCTAGATTAGGATTTCTCCACCATTTGATTTACACCAAAAAACTACAAGTAGGTAATTATAGTAAAAAAAAAGAAATCTATTTATTATAAATAATAAATTGAATTATGTACTACTTTAAAAGGATTAATGGTTAGCAATGTGTAAAATTTAGTGTTTGTTTGCAGGATGAAAAGTATCATACAGAGTTAGTACTTCATTATGTAGATGAGGCAGTCAGATTGATCAATGAAGAGCCATCATCTTCAGAACTTGAGGAGGCTCGGGGAAAGCTTCAAGACTTGCTTACCTCCTCTTGTCACTACCAGCCTCAACCAGTCCTTGCCAGAATGCAAGGGACTAGTCTCCATGTAGAAACAGCTGCTGTATTTGGAAGGGTAATTTCTTATCTGAAATATGTAAACATGTTAACTATTACAATTTATTTGGTGCTATTTTGAATATAAAAAACTTGCTATTTTAGAGAAATATGAAAATAATTTATTCCATGTGTCAACTGTTGTTTGATTTCTTTATTCTTGCTTGATCAGTTGTAACTAGAAATAATATGCTCAAAAGAAGATTGCTATTCATTTTTTTTTTTAATTTAAAGGAAAGCAGCCTGTATATTGTATAACGGTTATTATAGAGTATTTTTACAACAGCTCGGTGAACACGAAAAAGCTCTGTCCATGCTTGTTCATCAATTAAAGGACTTCAGTGCGGCAGAACAATACTGTATAGCACAGACCAGAGGTGCAAATAATACATGTAAATCCAGTATCTTCCTCAAATTGCTAAAAATATATTTGAGACCACCACCTGGGTAAGTATAACTTACCTGTCTGCTCTTCTTAGTCACCTGGCTTACTGGTATAATCTTACTTAAATAATCAAGTTGTCAGAAATTATTTATTTGTATTCTTAAGCATTGTTAACAATTTGCTAGTGGTATGATAAAAAGTTCCTGTATTAATGGGCAACGTAGTACAGCAAACCCTTTCATAATGCATGAGATATTTTTCTGAAAATTGATGCGCTGTGGAAAATAGGGTTACATTCTGGACACTTCAAAATATGCCAGTTTTTTTTTTTTTTTTTGGGGGGGGGGGGGCAGTCAAAATTATTAGTTTAATTTACATTCTGTTAATCTTCAGATACCTCAAGTAATGACTGTGGAAAGGGTTAATGTAAGTGTACTGGGCAGATTTGAATGTAGAAAGGTTTATCAGCTGACACTTGGGGCATGTCAACAACATTAATAATTACACTAATGGAGGAGCACTAAACATGTAGAGAGGTTCTAAGCACCTGAGGAAAGAGCTTCTGATCTGGTTTTAGCTCCCAGCAATATTGTGGAATTGCAAAGTTCTGTGGTGAATGTAACATGGGCAACACCTGGGTATATATTGTGAAGATAAGTTATGTGAACCAGTGATTTTTTCAGTTCAATAGAGATTGCATATTGGAGACAGTGGAAGACGAGGTAAGCAGTCTGAATCAGAGGCAGGAGAATGAGCACTTGTATACTGAAGGCAGGACCCCACTAGTGGAAGTAGGTCATACCCAAGAGTTGGGCCAGAGTTACTAATCTGTGCATAACTTGGGCATGACCTACTTACACTAGTGGGTCCTGCACATGTGACAATGTCTTTAACTAATTATACTGTATATAATCATTTCTCTTGCCTCTGGCTCAGAATGATCAACGTTGAGGGACTGATTACCTCATCATGCACTTGATGAAACATCCTCACAGTAACAATACCTGGGCGTGTTAAGTCTTATTCCTAAGTTTGTCAGTATTATATATTAATGTAATATGAGATTTTTATAGGCAACTCTGTAATGCATACCTATATAATCAGTACACCTGAAATGTCTGTAAAAAATTTTGTATTTATGCATTGAGGCCCATGGCCTGGTGTAAAAGCTCTCACTTCACACGGTGAGGGTCCGGGTTCGATTCCCGGTGAGGGTTGAAACATTGGGCGTGTTTCCTTACACCCAACCGAAGTTGTATGTGTAGAACTCGAGGCCGGATTTTTTTTTCTAGGACCCATTGAACATAATTTATAATTGTACCATTTCAAGTATACATGTAATACTAAAATTCATTAAATTGTTTGTATCCTCAGGGGTTCTGAGGATGACATTGAACTTGCACCAGCCATTGAACTCCTGTCAGTTCATGCTGGGGATTTGGAGGTATCAGCAGTTTTAGCTCTCCTACCACCTAACTGGTCACTTAGCATTGTTCATCATTACCTGCGAGCAGCTCTAAGAACCTCTTTGCATCAGGTATACTGGTTATAAAAATATTTTCATTTGTAATTTTCCAATAAATTGTTTCATTTGCCATAACGTGCAATACACTTTTTAAACTTCTTTAATCCCAAATCTTGATGGATATGGAATATGTGATGCCCCATCCTACCACATGGTTGGGTCCTTCAAACCCCTTTTTTTGCCTAATCAGAAACATATCTGTGCTATCAGGAACATTTTTGCATTTTTTTCCTCATTCTTGTTTATGAATTTAATAATGTAATGCACTTATTCATGTACATTAAGGAAACTAGTGTTGTCTAACTAATCTCCTGTTTTCAGAGTCGAATCAAGCGTATACAACAAACACTTGTTCGCAGTGATAACCTCCAACAAAAGTTTATCCTGTATAAGCTCAACAAAGATATGGGACCTATTCCACTAGCTTCAAACAGGTTTGAATGCTGGCTTTATTGCTGATTTAACCTAGTGACCCAACTATGACTTAAGTTTTGCATTCACACTAACCCTTAACTTCACCAACCTTTACTGCACACTTAGTACTTATTTTTTTATATATAATATATGAAAATTAAAATTTACTCCATAAATAGTACTAATACTGTGATAAAACCAGTATTTCAAGTGTATTAAAGCCTCAATTTAGCAACAGCATTACTAATGGGGAGTGTGTTCAGTAATCCTGATTACAAGTGACAAGATGTAGCTTAACAGAATCCTGGAACAATAAACTGTCATTTGGAGTTTAAATACTTATCCAGCAGACATGAACAATAAAGAATAATTTTGTAAATGAAGTTTGCCAGACAACTGATTTTGCTTAAATCAAAGTTTCAGTGTAACAAAACATATGTTACCAGCATGTTCAAAAAAATCACAACCTTATAACATTAGATACACCAATAGTCTATCACATCCCATGAAATAACAGATTTGCTGTACATCAAACAGACTAGCCAGTGTTTAGAAATTTGAATTGTTGAACATAAGAGATGAGTTTGTGATCAAGAGGGTTCAGCCAATTTTCATTGTGCTAACAGCAAGCAGCTGCTATCACACACAAGTTAAGGGCAGTGTATGGCTTAAATATTATTCAGAGAATTCATAATGTGGAAATTAAGTGGTGTGGAGTTACTAAAAGTATTATTCAGAGGGCTGAGGAGGGGCTGTTGTGGGGGTATGGTCATTTAGAGAGAATGGAGTACAAGATTACCTGGAGGGTGTATAAATCTGTAGTGGAAATGGTGGACTGATGGTATAAAGAGGTCTTGTGTGCAAGGGGCTTGGACATACAGCAAGCATGTGTGAGCATGTTAGATAGGTTTTTGGGACTTGGTGAGCTGTTGGAGTGTGAGCAGGTAATATTTTGTGAAGGGATTTAGGGAGACTGGTTAACTGGACTTGAGTCCTGAAGGTGGGAGGTACAATGCCTTCACTTTAAAGGAGAGGTTTTGGATATTTGCTGTTTAGTAACATGGTGGGAGATGGCTAGCATGTTAAAAAACTGTATAATTGGCTCTTGTAAACTTTACAGCTAACCATAATTTTTCCCAAGGATAAGGGAATTCATTATTATTATAATCAAAAAGAAGCGCTAAGCCACAAGGGCTATACAGCGCTGCAGGGCAGGAAGGAAGCGAGGGCATCAGGTGGCAAAAGGGAGATGGATGAGTAATAGGTTATGGATAACAGCGGGGCAGTGGATGGTGAAAGGGTAAAGGGCAGCAAGAGACTGAACTAGAAAGGGCTGAGGGGAGTGCGAAAGGTATCATCATCAGAGTTTGTGGAGTAAATCAGTCGTTGTCAAGAAGTCAATGAGAGAGTCAGGATTAAAGGAGGGTCCATCAGCAAGAAGGGAAGGTAAAGTGAGAGTAGTAGAACGAAGACGACGTTGGAGGTAAATTCTGCGTGCTCGTTGATAGAGAGGGCAGTCTAACAGAATGTGGCTAATCGATACTGGAACTTGACACTGCTCACAGAGAGGAACAGGGTGTCTCTCCATGAGTTACCCAGGAGTAAGACGAGTGTGGCCAATGCGAAGGCAGGAGAGAGTGGTCTCCCAACCTCAGCACTGATGACAAGAAGACGGCCAGTAACGTATGCTCGGTTTAATAGAATGAAGTTTGTTACCGAGCAGAGTTGACCAACGTTGTTGCCAATGGGTGTGAAGGTGGGTAGCTATTGCAGCAAAATAGTCCAGAAATGGAACACCTCTATAGGAAATTGGTAGGTCATGTACTGCTGACCGCGCAGCAGTGTCTGCCTGTTCATTGCCCTGTATGTCGACATGACCAGGGACCCAACAAAAAACAATATCTTTATGCTTGGTTGGATACGGAGAACTAGGGGGGTGAGATGTATCAAATTTTCGTACAGCCTGTAGAGCACTTAAGGGAGTCTGAGACTACCACAAATGATGACACAGGCATAGATGCGATACGAATAAGTGCTGCAAGAATGGCATACAATTCAGCAGTAAAAATACTAGCCGAAGATAGTAAATGCCCTCGCACGACGCTGTCCGGAAACACTGCTGCGAATCCGACACCATCTGAAGACTTAGAGCCATCTGTGTACACAACGATGGCATGAGAATGAGAGTGGAAGTGATCAAGAAAAAGAGAGCGGGAAGCCACATAGGCAGTTGGGCTTTCGAGCAAGGGAGTGAGAAAGAACAGACCCGAACAGCTGGAACTTCCCAGGGGGGTAGGGAAAAGTGAGATGCTACATGAACATATAAAGGTGGTAACTGAAGGGAAGACAAGAGCGAATGTAGGCGAAGAGAAAAGGGACAGAGCAAACAGGGGCGGCGAACAAATGAAGAATGTCTACTAATATCGGTGACCATTCTATAAATGGAAGGATTGTGGAGATCGTGAGAGCGTACATAGTAGCAAAGGCAATGGGCATCACGGCGATCAGACAAGGATGGAACATTCGCTTCTGCATAGAGGCTCTCAACAGGGGAAGAGCGAAAAGCACCAAGGCATAAACGTAATCCTTGGTGATGGATGGGCTTAAGGCTAGAGAGAGTAGCAGGAGAGGCCGCTGAATAAATCTGGTCACCATAATCGAGTTTCGATAAAACGAGGGCTGAATGTAGGCGAAGCAGAGTTCGACGATCAGCTCCCCAGGAAAGATGAGCAAGGGTTTTAAGAAGGTTTAGCCGGCTGTGACAAGTTGCCTTCAGAGAGGTAATGTGAGGTTTCCAGGATAACCTACGGTCAAAGAGAAGGCCTAGAAACCTGACTGTATCACTTTCGGGGATATGAGAGCCATAGAGATACAAAGAATGATCGGAGATGACAGTGTGTCTAGTGAAAGTAATTTGGCGAGTTTTGGTACTGGAAAATTTAAACCCATGCATGGTGGCCCAAGTGGAAACACGGTCGACCGCATGCTGGAGAGAAATTGCAATGAGATGACAGTCAGCGTCTGCACAAGCAATAGCGAAGTCATCAACATAGAGTGATGACCAAATATTGGGTGGAAGAACAGAGGCCAAATCATTTATAGCAAGGAGAAAAAGTGTTGTGCTCAGAACACATCCCTGAGGGACACCTTCAGCTTGGACAAAGTCTGGGGAAAGCACATTATTGACTCGAACATGGAAGTGTCTGTCAGTTAAAAAGTTCTTAAGGAAGGATGGTAGATTGCCTCGGAGGCCTAAGGAGTGGGCTTGGGCCAAAATATTATACCTCCAAGTTGTGTCATACACCTTCTCAAGGTCAAAAAATATGGCAATAACCGAGTGATTATTTGCAAAGGCATTACGAACATAGGTATCCAAGCATAGTAAGGGGTCTATGGTAGAACGGCCCTTACGAAAGCCATATTGACTAGCGGAGAGACTGTTGTCTCTAAATACCACATTAAACAGCGATTTACCAGACGTTCCATCACTTTGCAAACTGCACTAGTAAGAGCGATGGGACGATAGTGGGAGGCATCATGTCCTGTAGTACCCGGCTTGCGGAAAGGGAGAACAATGGCAGATTTCCACAGCTGGGGAAGAACTCCTTGTGCCCAAATAACATTGAAGAGGTGTAAGAGGACTACAAGGGCTGACTGATGTAAATGTTGTAACATATGAATATGAATGTCGTCAGGTCCAGCTGCCGATGATCGGCAAGCTGAGAGTGTTGCCACCAGTTCCTGAAGTGTAAAAGGCACATTATACTGTTCTTCTCTGAGAGAAGAAAAGTCCAAGGGTACTAACTCTCTGGCAGACTTTGAGGAAAGAAACGAGGGGCATAGATGGAGCCCCCGGGAAATACGAACCAGATGAGTGCCAATTTCAATGGCAACGTCAAGAGGGTTTGCTACATCAATACCGGCGACCCGTAGAACAGGAGCCGGGTCAGGAGAGTATTTACCACTCAATTTCCTCACTTTTTTCCAGACTGCACTCATAGAGGAAGCAGAGGTGATGGTGGAAACATAGTCTCGCCAGCAAGTGCGTTTTGCATCACGGATTTACACGGCGAGCGATCGCACGCCCTTTTGCTAAAATCAAGAAGTCTCTATTGTTCTTTGTATAGTACCTGCCCATGCGCCATTTTAAACGTACGCAGAGCACAAGCAGGAGACCACCCAAAGGGACGCACTTTTGAGAAAGCTTGCCTGAGGTTTGGGGTATAGAAAGAGAAGCGCGGTATAAACTGCGTCGAGAAGAGGTGTAGGAGCTCATAATGGAGGATGAAGAAGGAACTCGCTAAAAGCGTGAGCTGCGAGTAAAAAGGGCCCCATTTTTCCCGATCAAATTGCCAACGGGGTACGGAAGGTGGTGAATTGAAGGAGAAGTAAGAATGATTGGGAAAATGATTGCTGTATGTAAGTCCATGAACAACCAGGTGAAGTCTAGTGCAGTGGGGAAAAAGCGACTAAAGATTCTGCAAGGAGGTATGAGTCGAGGATCAAAAGGGGGGGGAACCCTATTTAAAACATGGAGGGGGTGAGAGGCAGAAAAAGCCTCCAATGGTGCCATGGTACAATGAGACCTTCCCCGAGGGGAAAAGGTGGGCCCTTTAAAAAACACCAAGTAACAAAAAAAGGGGGTGGTGGTAAGGATGAAACAAGAAAGGCAAAATTGGGATAGAAAATCTCGAGAAGAGAGAGTATAAAGAACATATTGTAAACCACTTATTCAAATGGATACGGGTGCGGTAAGCAGCGGGGTTTGGGCAAAAGTTGACAGTACAGTATCATTGGTGAAGGGCCTTTTATTAAAGGTCCCATCTGAGAAAGGATCCGAAGATACAATAATTATAGCCTGAGATGGTTGGAAAACAGCTGAGTGTAATTTTGGTTCTTGTAATCAAGCACCAACAGGGGAAAACCTGGAAAGCAACATCTGAAGCTCACCCCGATTCCCCCTGGGGCCCGCGGATATTCCACTGTAAATAGGCCCATGATTGGCGATGAAGAAAATACCAGGAATCCGTGGGGAAAAAGGAAACCTACGGACTAGAGGGGTTAGAAAAGTAAACGTGTGGTGGCATTGGAAGACGTTCAAGCAGCGAAGGAATGGAGCGTTGTGAAGATGGAGGAGAGGGAAGAGAAGGAACAGGAAGTGAATCAGTGTCCATTGAGGTTTAGTCTCTGCAATATATTCTGAAATGGCTTCAAGTGTTTCTGAATTCAAGATGTATGGGAGGGCCATATTGGAGGTAGAAGGGGGAGGGTGAGTAAAGAGTGGGACAGTATGGACTGTACCAAAGTTTGGGGGGACGAAAGGTGTAAGGGAAATGGGGATGAAGTGTGGGGGGGGGACAGGAAAAGGCAAAAAAAACCGGGAGGGGGGGAGAAAACTTGGGAGGGGACGGGGGTGGAAGGCATAGTACGAGGAGGAGGGGAAGAACTAGGCACAGAGACTGGAAAGGTAAAGTGTGGAGGTGGAAGAAGGGAAGGAAGAGGCAAAGAAGATTTGAGCAATGTGGATTTTTTGGACTTCTGAGAAGTAGAGGGGCGATTGGTATAAGGTGTCATACGAGGTCTTGTCGATACTGGGGCTTGTGAGGAAGGACGCGAAGATGTGAGAACAGACCGAGTTGTAGTTGGGACGTCAGAGCCAAGGACAGCAAAAGGATTAGATGCCGGAGTGGCTATGGGAGGGGTAACAACAGAGGAGGCTGCAGAAGATGGGACCCCAGAAGTGGGGGGGGGGATGTTTTGAAACACGAGTATAAGAAACACGGGGTAGTCTCCCTTGGAGGCGGAGATGAGTAACTGCCATAGCATAAGGGAGACCTGCCTCTTTGGGGCAATGGATTTCATGTTCATTTAAGTAGACCTGGCAACGGCGGGAGTATGAAGGGTGAGCTTCATTACAATTAAGGCAAGATGGAGGTTGACTGCAAGATGTATTAGAATGGTCGTCGGCACCACAGACTGGGCATTCGGCTATAGATCTGCAATATTTCGCTGGGTGACCAAAACGCCAGCAATTTCTACACTGTTGCGGTGTAGGTATCACCTTTCAAACTTGTAACCGATGTCCCGCGACATATACAGAGGACGGGAGTTCTCGGCTGTCAAAAGTTAAACGAGCCACATTGCAAGGGTAACGTCTCCACCCACGGGCAGGAAGGACATAAGTGTCTACTTTGAGGATTGGGAGATCCTGGAGTTCCAGCTGTTCAAGAATGTCATTGCCACATGACTGGAAATTCTGTTGGACTATGGTATGGGGCAGAATGACAGTACCACTACAAGAATTGAGAGAAACATGTTTTTCAATAGTGATAGGAGTAGTATCGATATTCGAAAGGAGAGAAAGATCATGAGCTTGGGTAGCATTCTGGACAGTGACGATGCGCGTACCGCTCTTGAGAGCACGAAATGTAATATCTCTACCAACATGACGCAGGAGCGCTTTACCAATACTATGGTCAGAAAGATAGGCAGAAGAGGAAGTCAGTCTTAAAGTAAAGAATTTAGTCCATTGTGTGGTCCGAAACTGAGCGTGGAGAGGGAGTGCATGACATGTCGGTCTTTTCCGAGTAAAATGGGAAGGTAACGAAAGAGCATCATCAGGAGATTGATGTTGGCGTTTAGGAGTAGGACCGGAGTTGGTCCGGCCTGAAATGGGCTGGCGATTCGAAAATTGCCGTACCGTAGAGGGAGAGGCTGGAAGCATAGTCAAAGGAGGTCAGACAAATTGAAGGAGTCAGTCGAAGCCCCGGTACCTGAAGTGGGTGAGGAAACAGCATCAGCAAGAGGTACAGGGGCATCAGGAGTGTCCGAAGAGTGGTCTAAAAACAAGGCAGGGTCAGAATGGGGTGCGGTATCAAGAAGGGGCCCGGGGGTAGTGGGTTCATGGATTGGGTTCTCCATAGTTAGGTTACTCCTTTGCTTTTTGTTTTTAAGAAAAAAAAAGAAAATAAAAATAAAAAAAAAAAAAAAAAAAAAGGGGGGGGAGCGGGGAGGAATAGTTCCCAGGAGGAATGAAAGGGCCGGAAATCTCCCTCCGCACCCAAGAGGACCTCAGCACCGCTAGTAGCACAGATGCAGCATGGAACCCGTGCCATACCCTACCCTTCATGCCAGTAAACCAGCAATCCGGGATAGCACTCTCACATCTGCCGAGCTACCTCGGTGGACAAAAGAGGGCGGCCGGATATCCACCACAAAGCATACCTCCTTCGGCCACCACCCCCGGAATCCGAAAGGTGGCTTCCAGAGATACACCCGTCGCCCGAAAGACACCCAAAGCTACTCTGGGATACCGGAGAGGGATCGGGACATCCCCAGGCAATCCAAATTCCATGGCAAACTACGCCACCGCCAAGAACCTCAACGGAATGGGATGGACCCCGGTATCCTTTCCCCCTACCTAGGAACTAGCGCGCCTGTGGGAGAAATCCCAAAGGCCAAAAAGAGGAAGGGCAAAAGGGAGGGGTGGGGAGGAGGGGGGGGATTGGGGGGTAATTAGGTTCGGTCTGAGGAAGGAGACCGACAGGTCTGATTCCTCAGACCAAGAGCCTCTTCACCACAACAAGGAGCCCCCCTTGAAAAGGATAAAGGAATTCAGATGTAGTTCAAAATTACACTCTTCAGGACTGCATACCAGCACCCAGCTTGACTCAGATTCTCACCATAGGTGAATGACACATCTCCTGGGTAACTTAATCTGTGATACCATTTCCTCAGGTGACATGACTCAACTCTTGTATATACCTCATGCCTTACCCTCTATTGTATCTGCTGCAAAGGATGCCAGTTAATGTCAAAATGTACAGACCAGTCTAACTTAGCATGTTTGTTTTCATGTTGGTTACTGTGCATTGGCACTTAACCTAGAACTTACTAAATATTTCTTCTATAAGACACTGAATGCATATACTTGTATGAAAATTGGTACCTTTTATCAATGTAGTTATCTTTGAGCTCATATCAAAGGCTGCAAAATAATGCTAACAGTTCTCACACTCTGCAGGATATGCTGTGTGTGTAACAGAGGATTCACAAGCTGTGAGTTCACCATTTATCCCAACGGCGTGATGGCTCACCTGACTTGTGCACCTAACCCAAGTGTCTGTCCTCTCACAGGCACAGTTTTTCAAGTCACACGTGATGCTTCCAGATCTGGAACCAACAAGCAGTATTCAAGATGAAAAAAGCAATAACTTTAAGTTCCTGTAATATTAATAAAAATTTTCATTGGTTAAACAAATTGCAAATTGTCAAAACAATACTGGTTTGTTAATTTATAGAAACTTTTAGTTTAGTGAAGTTTAAATTTTGTCATATGTACACACTTAAGGAATTGTTTAATTGAACCTCTTGTGTGATCTAGTCATTAGTCCCAAGAATTAGTTAAAAAAAAAGTGAGGGGGGGGAGAGAGGTTTGGACATTGATTTGCCAGGTGAGTGTTTTATGATACTATTAAAAATGCCGTTCTTCCATCATAATATTAATTACACAACTAAGACAAGAACTGGGAAATCAGCTATTATTGCTACCCCATGTCTGGATTATTCAAGAAATACAGCATATGATTTATAATATAAAAGTGTGTGTTTCAGATTGTCTAGTGATTGCATAAATGATGTACTGTAGGTAGATTGTTAAAAAAAAAATTAATGTTGCTTAACTTTCAATATAATGCTGCTGTCTTTAGTACCTTCATAACATCAGCTTCCTACCTCAGTGTACAGGGTATAATATTGTATGCAAGTACAGAATAACAATCCATGATGTGCTACAATTTCTAAGGTATTTAAAAAGATAATTTTTTTCAATCACAAATGTTAAAAATGTTAAACACGGTTATTAAATAACAGCAAGTTTAGAGTATGTAACGTGGTTGTATTAGGGATGTATAACAGCAACATAAGAAAATAGCACTAGCTACATCATGCTAACTCCTGTATAAAATTCAGTACACGAGTACTTACGACTTCTTTCATATGCCAAGTAAATAAAATTTAATCTTCAAATAGTTTATTTTTTGTTACAGTATGTAGCAAGTGAATTTTCTTTTTATCTCAGTAGCGATCTCTAAGGCAAGGAGACTCGGAGAAAAAAAAACACTGATGACCCTCCAACTGCGACCTTTTTCCCCTCCCCTCAAAGAGTGTAGGCATTGCCCTCCTCACTTATAGGACTAATCCAACTAACCAGTTTCTCCTAAAAATTACATTGCTCACACTCCAAGAGGATATCCATTAAAAGTCATGTGTCTCCATTCACTAACATGCTCACACAATCCTGCTGGATGATCAACCCACTAAAACTTGAAGCCTCTTTTACTTCCTCCTAATGTTCATGAGATGACTCCTACCTTCCAAATGACCGGCCAGCTGACTGCCCCACCCTCCCTGTCACAATCGTTGAGTAGTGTGTTAATGAATACGTATTTAATATTTTTTAAGAGTGCACGTAACATTAACATTTTAAAAAGTATCAGCTTGCCCGTTTTTTCACCAATACGATAAAAATGGCCAATACCGATATTTTGGCACATCCCTAATACATCCACTTGCTCCTTCCTTCCTCCGATCTGATATTCAACCTATCATTGTCTAGACTTATTTTTTGTTACCCTCATTACCTTGCTCTATTCCATGTCCACTTTTAATTTCCTTCTTTTACATACCCTCCCAAATTCATCCACCAACCTTAGTAACTAGTCTTCAAAATCCCCCCCCCCCCAAAAAAAAAAAAAAAAATTGCAACTGTGATAACTCCCACTATGTAGCAGATCTAACATCTGTCAATCCTACACCTCCCAATACCTTAGTTTACTTTATCATTATTATTAACCCCATATTCATCCTGTGGGCAGTAGTCAAAAGGTTACAGAGGCACACAATGAGTCCAGGGATGGGGATGCAAAGTTTTGATACCTAAACAAGTTACAGTAATAATGATAATGCTTTATTTCTGTGAGCATAATGTGTAAAATAGCAAGAACAAAGAATGCCACTAATTATGAAATATATTTTGGGCATGTGGTAATGACCTATTTACATGTTTATATCTGGTTACAATTGTAATGAGTTATTTATGCAGATATCAATTAAGTCACAAAAAAATATTACAAATATTTTAACAAGTTCTGCTTGTAAAAAAAAAAAAATTAAGTGGTTGCATGTTACTTTACAGTAGGCAAAGTCAGGGTATTTTTCCAGAATGGTTGATAATATGCCACTGTGGGTAAAATACTTTGACATTTCTCGAACATTTCTGAGTTCTCTTGAATTTATTAATTTCATTGCATTGGATCACATACTTGGAGTATACCTGGAGGGGGTTTCAGGGTTCAATGCCCTCACAGCCCAGTCCATAACCAGGCCTCGTGGTGAATTAGGGCCTGATCAACCAGGGTGTTACTGCTGGCCACACAAACCGATGTACAAGCCACAGCCTGACTGGTGAGGAACTGACTTTAGGTGCCTGTCCAGCACCTTCTTGAAGACAGCGAGGGGTCTATTGGTAATCCTTGTTATGTATACTGGTATGCAGTTGAATAGTCTTGGGCTCCTGACACTTACTGTGTTGTCTCTTAGAGTACTCATGGCATCCCCGCTTTTCATTAGGAGTGGGGAGGAGGATGTTGCACCTTCTGCCAAGTCATTTGCTTTTGTAGCAAGCAATTTTCATGTGCAGATTTGGGACTAGTTCCTCTAGGATTTTCCAGGTGTATATTATCACGGACCTTTCTCGCATTCCAGAGAATACAAATCAAGGGACTTCAACCATTCCCAGTAATTTAGGTGCTTTATCGTACCTATACGTACCATGAAAGTTCTCTGCATATTCGTAGGTCTGCAATTTTGCCTGCTTTGAAAGTGGCAGTTAGTGTACAGGAATATTCCAGCCTAGTGAGAAGTGATTTGAAGAGAATCATCATGGGCTTGGCATCCCTAGTTTTGAGGGTTCTCATTATCCATCCTATCATTTTCCTAGCAGATGTGGTAGTGTTGTGATCTTCGAAAGCGAGATCCTCTGACATTATCACTCCCAGGTCTTTCACATTAGTTTTTCACTCAATTGTGTTGTTGGAAATTGTTTTATACTCTGATACAGTTTTGATTTCCTTGAGTTTTCCTTAGTGGAGTAATGGAAATTTGTCTTCATTGAACTTCATAATGTTTTCTGCAGCCCATTTAACGATTTGTTCAATATCCACTTGGAGATTTGCAGGATCTTCAATGGATGACACTGTCATGCGAATTCGGGTGTCATCCGCAAAGGATGACATGGTGTTCTGGCTTACATTTCTGCCAGATATGAGGATGAGAAATGCTCTGTCCCACAGGGACAGAGCGTTTCACTGTAGCTGCCTCAGACTTTACTCTGTGTTCTGTTTGTTAGGAAATTACAGATCCATCTACCAATTTTTCCTCTTACTCCTTTATCATGCAATTTGTGTGCTATTGCACCATGATCACATTTGTCGAAGCTTTTTGCATTTTGTTTGTCTTCCAGAGCATCCAAGACCATGTCATAGTGGTCCAGTAGTCGGGATTGGCAGGAGCAACTTGCTCTTAAACCTATGCTGCCTTGGGTTGTGCAAATGATGGGTATCTAAGTGGGTGGCGATCATGCTTCATAGAACCTTTTCAAAGATTTTTATGAAATGGGACATTAGTGCTATATATCTGTAATCCTTTGCAATTGCTTTACTACCACCTTTGTGGAGTGGGGCTATGACTAGTTTTTAGTAACTGTGGGATGACCTTCCTTGTAGGAGCAATGCTTATGACCCTTATGGGCTTGGCACTTGGTTATGATTATAATAATTCCTTGTAGGGAATATGATAGCCTTGTACCACAAACAGCCATGATGGAGACAGAAGATATACACACCCCTTTAGAGAATAATTGCTGCTGTGTTATAAATGCAAAAATTTTGCAGCGCAGGTACAATAATTCTAGCTCTGAATGCATGGCGCATGTACATTAATTCTTGTTCTGAATGCAGTGCAGGTACAGTAATTCTGGCTCCAAATGCACAGTGCATGTACAGTAATTCTGGCTCTCAATGCACAGTGCAGGTACAGTAATTCTGGCTCTCAATGCACAGTGCAGGTACAGTAATTCTGGCTCTCAATGCACAGTGCAGGTACAGTAATTCTGGCTCTCAATGCACAGTGCAGGTACAGTAATTCTGGCTCTGAATGCACAGTGCAGGTACAGTATTTCTGGCTCTGAATGCACAGTGCAGGTACAGTATTTCTGGCTCTGAATGCACAGTGCAGGTACAGTAATTCTGGCTTTGAATGCACAGTGCATGTACAGTAATTCTGGCTCTCAATGCACAGTGCAGGTACAGTAATTCTGGCTCTCAATGCACAGTGCAGGTACAGTAATTCTGGCTCTCAATGCACAGTGCAGGTACAGTAATTCTGGCTCTCAATGCACAGTGCAGGTACAGTATTTCTGGCTCTCAATGCACAGTGCAGGTACAGTATTTCTGGCTTTGAATGCACAGTGCAGGTACAGTAATTCTGGCTCTGAATGTACAGTGCAGGTACAGTAATTCTGGCTTTGAATGCACAGTGCAGGGACAGTAATTCTGGCTTTTAATGCACAGTGCAGGGACAGTAATTCTGGCTTTGAATGCAGTGCAGGGCCAGTAATTCTGGCTTTGAATGCACAGTGCAGGGACTAATTCTAGCTCTGAATGCGCAGTGCAAGTACGGTAATTCTGGCTCTTTAATGCGCATTCTGTTCTTGGGCCACACATTTCTACCCGTGGATTATTATTAAAAATAAAAAAGAAGCGTAAGCCACAAGGACGTGGAACCGAAAAATTTCTCTTGAGAAAACCTGGCTTATCTACAGGACGATTTATTCCCCCAGTGCGATCGAGAAACTTCCACATGGGAGACTGAAAAAAATCTGGATTATGGGATGTTGTGATTCTCAGGGAAAAAAGTATGGAAATTATCCCCGGAGGAGAAATAAAAAATTTTGCAAGAGGGGCGCAAGGGCGTCGGCGTTGGGGCTGCCCATCAGTCGCCGGGATGACTGCTCCCTACAAGACGCAAGACCCCGCCTTGCCTCTACCGCACACCTGTTTTATATAACTACACGTCTGTTCCTACCCCCCTCGAAAAAGTTTTCAATACTAGGCTTTTTTACTGTTAAATTTAAAATCACTTTTCATATTTTCTACCTAATTTATTATTATTTTTACAAAGCAAAATTTTGTTCCAACCTTTTACACTTGCGAAAAAAATATTTTTCTTCATACACAATGTATTCCCATCCCTCATCAAAAACGTTTTTTCCATCCCTTAAAAATATGCAAACCTGTTCCTAACCTCACACCTGTGTTCTTATCCCTCACCCGTGGGCGGTTTTTTTCCTATCCCCACACACGCTAAATTATCAACAAAATATATCAATTTTTCGCTTTTGGGTTTTTTTTTTTTTTTACCAATCTTGCCGAAATTATTCAACAAACTTTTAAAAAAAAAAGGCAGGGCATTGTATGATACGGGTCCGTGGGAGCAGCAGCAGGATAAAACTGCACCACCTCTGGGGGCCCCTTAAAACAACAACACATTTGGTGGGTCAGGGGCCCCAAACACAGGTGGTAACCCCTTTTAACTTACCATTTATCTGCATGCAGTTTACAGGAGTTTAAATAGTGCCATTATAAACTTTTCTTTTTACATATGCAAACATCACCACCCTTAGAAGCCATTATAGATTACTATCAAAAATTTTTTGTTGTTCAGAAGTACAATGAAATTTTACATTTCAAAAAACCTAGAGAAACCTGTTTTCTACACAACAATTTATTTAACATAGAATCCGGGCTACCTGGTGTGATCCGCCTAGACACATCAAAACAGGACGTTTCTGAAACCTGAGAGGCGACTGTGACCCCAGCTTATCAACGGCTTCAGAATGGAAGCATGGTTTTAAAAATTCGAAAAATTTTTGGGGGGCCCTTCCCAAAGAAATCTAGATAAACAAACGC